CTCATGCTCGACCGCCTGCTCAACTTGTGACGGGAATCCACGCTCGACCGCCGTCTCATTGTGCGACGGGAACCCCCGCTCGACTGTCGACATCGTGCTCGACGGGAACTCATGCTCGACCGTCTCAGTCGCATCTGTCCAGCTTCTCTCAAATTACGGGTTAGAAGCGACATACTTCTCCGGCCCGCTTCAAAATGGCACTTTCGGTTTAAGAGCAGTATCTTCAAAAGCTATATATCATCTATAAGAACTGAGCACACCGTTGAATAGCTCTCGATAGCGCGCACAGGTGAGTATTTTGCTTATTTTCCTAGCAGCAGAATCAAGAGAGCAAGCCCTGCTCTTAGGTGGCTCTTTTTAATGGTCAGGTCTTTTATCGCCGTTCAGTCAATTTTTAGCGATATTACACCGGATGTTTAGGTCACGCAGCAAGAGACGTTAGTAATCGCCGAGCCAAGACATTAGCAGTAGAACAAAGCAGGGATACTCCAAGTTAAAATAAACTCCAACGTAAGGTTTATTGCGGCAGACCCAGTAAACAATGTGTACCCATCTGTCACTTTGACCAATCCGAGTGGACCTACTAATTAGGTACAGAATTAGGGAAACGCAAAGATGGAATTGACCGATTAAGCGTACAGCTGCATGTATCCGGCCGTCACCGCATCCGTTGCGACCATTATCGACATGAGCATCCGCCCACTGACAGCTACATGCTTACTCACACGAGGCAGTCTAAAGTCGTTCCTCACACCACTTCGTAGAATCGCCTCCATCACCTTCTGTAGGGTGACAAAACACTTATCCAGTGTTTGCCACCGGAGCTCGTCAAACGTTTCCGTCACTGCGGCGATGAGGCTGTTTGTATCGTAGGCAGCCTTCCGATACTGTAACGCTTGAATTGAAGCAAAGTAGCCCAAATCAAGAACGTTAAGCTCAGGTGATCGAGGTGGCTGGCAGCGCATCTTAATCTTCCAGCCCTCCACTCTCCCTGCTACCTCCAACTCGACGTCGTTTTCGAGGACGTGCGGTCCCGCGTTGTCTTGCTAGGCGAACACCGTCGAGCCCTGGCGAACTACATGCAGATCATGAAAGTATTTTGTCAGTTGAATTCGTGAGTACTGGTATTAATAAGAAAATAGATTTACCTGACACCTTGGCTCTGATAGCGATCGAGGGAAAAACTTTTTCAACAAGAAATTGTCGTTAAAGTGTGCTTTCTGAAAACTACAACAGCTCGGAGCGGTGTGCGCCGCGCCACGTACTGTGACGCCGCGATTTCCACGGGCCCCACGGCGGCGCTCAGCATGGCCAAGCGCATGCATCGTGCCGTCGAGCATGCCGAGCAAATACCCCATATAGGTGGTGGAGGCCAACGGGTCATGTGTTCATCATGAATGCCGATCAACGGGTTCTTGGCTGCAACGCGCAGCGCAAGCGATCGTTCATTTTGCCGCCTCCTAAGTAGTGGCAATAGTGGTAGCAAACGCACACGCGGTTATGACAAACAGCGGGACCCCTTGAGCGAGACGCACTCCTTGCGGTTCATCGAATGCTTGGTCATGAAATCGACGAGGATCGCGTCCGAGGGCACGCGCGTGTACGAGGAAGCGCATGTCCCGCTGGTTGATGGGGCAGTTGGTTCTCAGATCATTGACAGAAGTGGAGACCGGGTACGACTTGGCATCGTCGGTGGCGAAGGCCACGGAAATGCCATTGGCGCAGTGGACCGCGGGGCTCGAGATCCCTCGGTGGACCTGGCTCCCTCAGCGGAGACAACCCAGTTGACGGCGAAGCGTATTGAGACCCCGTTGGATCTTGATTCTGACGAGTCGGTAAATATGCTCCACCATTTCGTCGATGGTCGAGTTCTCCTCTTCATCATTGACGAACTTATCTAGATATCGAGGGCGTTGTTGTCGTGCAAGATGCAAAAATGTGAACTACAAGGCAACCACCAATAACAGCGCCATCCACTGGCTCGGAATGACTCTTTAGCTCTCTGCGAAGGGTTTGACAGCGTCCTTTTACCGCCCCGAACGCATACTCTACTGCGATCCGCGTACCGGAATGAACATATTTGTAGAAGTTGATATCCGCTGACACCCGAGCGTCATGCGCAAACGGAGTTAACAGGTACTCGCGTAGCATATATACTCCGTCGCCTAAGAAAGGGCGATTATGTGAGACGCTCTTCACGTTGAGGCCAATCCAACTTCCGCTCCATGACGTGCAGTCATTACAACTCCTAGGTCAAATACAAAAAATCATAAATAACTTGTTGCAACCCACAACCCCTTGCATGTTGAACGCGGTAGTGCCCTTACGGCAGTACCATTCCCAGAAATTTGAAATTTGTCGGGCGCGATCGTCTTACGAGAGTTTCATCAACAGCGCCAACACCACCACCAAAGCCAGCGACCCTGTCAAAGCTTCAACTACTTCTGCCCACTCGCTACCCGAGCTCGAGAATCTTACGAACCGTGCCCGATCGTCGTAGAGGACTCTACAAATGCCAAAGTACGCGCGAGATGCAGTCGCCACGCTGACACCAAATTGACTCACCACATCTGCTTATGATCCGCGTAAGTCGAGATAGCGTCATGTTAGCGCAAGTTTCATGTCGAGTCAGTACTTGGTTCGGTTAGACTCAGGGACATGCCCATAGAATACTGACCATTGCTACTGAAGATAGCTGCATAACTTCTTGAAACACGAACGTCTCATCCGAAACGATCGTTGGAAGGATTCATCTGAAGCGTTGAAGTTCTCTTCGAAGTAGTTGCCCGTGACAGTAAGCTCTTGCGAATTCTTCTTCCATCGACCGATCCAACAGCAGTAACAAGGGTAGCAAGAAGCAACATCATAATAATGTTGAACTCATCCATATCATTGATAACACCACTCATGCTTAATTCACGCTTCTGGATCGGGCTGTTCGGGCTGTGTTTGCGCGGACTGCTTCGACTCGGACTGCTCATATACAGGCTGCGTCTGCTTGGGCCTGTTGCGGCTCCTGCTTGGACGGCGTCGGCTTGGGCGCGGGCAGCTTCTTGCTTGGACGTGGTCGGCTTGGGCGGCTTCAGGGGTGCGGCTGGAGTTGGCGTGCGGAAGTTGGTAGAGACCCTATAGGTTGTGAAATTTAATATGCTGGCTAAAATATAAGTTTTGGCAGTTTGCTGTGGGAGCATGCTGCCCTCAAATAAAACATATCCTAAGTGATACATTCTTGGAATCTGGTAATCATATCTGGTATTCTGAGAGTTCTTGTGGAGTTTGGAGTCAAATAAAAGCAAGCGTATGTTTGTAGCGAGCGCGGAACCCTGAAATGCAGATCAACGTGGGTGAATGGATTCTGTTTCTTGAAGTGGATTGAAATATAGGAGATCTTCCCTGCGAATCTATACAAGGCGGGGCTCGACTCTGGTTCGCAACTTGGGAACTGAGTCCCTTCTCAGATTCCCCATTGCATTCCCAGAATAACGACACCCAAACTTTGCGCCCGCAGACTTTCTTCCCACAAACGTCTACCAACCGCTTCGGCTCAGGGCTCCAAATCCAAGAACACTTAGTTAGTCTGTGACATCTCTCAGAATCCAAAGTTTATCCATCAACTCCGAGAAGGCATCCGGTATAGCGACCGATCAAGTCCAGATCAACACTCCGCAGAAAATCGCAGTCCCCGAAGAGTCGCTAAGGAAGGATTTTGTGCATGTTACCTTTAACCAAACAGAGTTCATTTTGCTTCGAAAGGCACAAGTGCTTCTTTCACAGCCTGGAAGGCCGCTCTCCACGACAAAACTCGAAGTAACTTAGGTAAATGACCCACTGCTCCGGCCTGGAAGTATTCCATATCTGTTTATTTGGCGGACTGCAAGCCGTCTTTGCTGTATATTTGGGGTCTATTGTACCTGTGTCGAACTGAAGAAGTTGGTGACAGGGTACATCGTATCCTCTTTCCGAGAAGTGGTGTCCCCAAAATTAAACAAGTGCCTCGGATTTGGGCCTATTTTGGCCTTAGTCTGAGCCTAGAGAAATAAGAGAGGGTAAATCAGAATTTGTATGATTGTATAACATGTATAGCGCTATTTGGGTTGGATTCTAGTGTAAGCTCGGCGTAGTTGTCTGATTTACGGGGTCGATACGAACCTCCTGGTGAAAAGAGCCGCTACCCAGGGGTACACATCGTGCGCCTGACCAACAACAACACACACCCTGTGCCAGCCGAGACGGATCCAAGCTCTAGGAGCCTGTTGTCGGTCAAGGAGGGCCTATAACTGTTTTCTGTGAAGAAACACGATCGCTTCACCACAAACTACTGTAGAACCATACTACATAAAGTAGCAATACAGCGAATATCTTCAAGCCAATTTAGGTTGCTGTGACAGCGAGCCTACACTGCACGCCGCTGGTTTATATGAGGGCAGTACCATTGAGTTCTGTTCTAACCCAGATTGTTCAACCCTCACATAAAACTGCAGATCAAGTCTTGTAGCAAAAAGAACATTCGGCTGGGCATTGAGCGCGACAGGACCATGGCAAGCCTGAAGACTCTTTAACAGACGCACGGGAACTTCTATATCTTTTCTTTAGTGTCCTGAGACGTCACCAAGCAGCAATAGCATGGGGTACGCATGTATTATCTAGTCAGAAAATGGTATAGAAAACCTGCACAATCAGATCGTTGTTTCATCATCTATAGACCTACACGCCGATTTACTGACCGCGTAGATTGCCCCAAATTTATGAACCGAAGCCATGTTGAAACACAGTATTTTCTCGAGTTTGCTATGAAATCGTCACCTCTAAAAAACATGCGTGGGTCGTATCGATAGTTATTTGTTCGTTATCTTTACCAGCACAATTCATCCAAACTGTTTTCGGCCCAGTGACTGTGATTGTTTGTGCCAGAATATTTTCTAAATTTGCTGCAACAATAGAAATGGGTAGCATTTGCGATACAAACATAGAAAGTACAGTCAGCACCTGTTTGGTCAGCATTAAAACCTGGCCTTCACCAAGCTTTGACATATTTTCCTTCCCTTACCCACCATTTTTTTTTCTGCTTGTGCGACTGCCGTCTCCGGTCTGTTCTGGCTCTGGCGCATTGAAAACTTGTTGCAGAGAAGGAAAACCAACCTCCACGTTTGGGACGCTGCGAACTTATCAACCGGCAGAGCTAAACTGAGATAGCAAGCTTTAGCATAAATATGAACCATCATACCCGTCACAGGGACCCATTTCTTCCGAAGGAAGGAAGCCCAACGCACTACCTGCTCCTCCCATTCGGGGGGGGGGGGGCAGCATCGCGGACACGGCTATGAACGCGGTACTGAACTGCGAACCGCACCCAATTTCGAGCTTATAACTAATAAGATATCTCTGTCTGTATTTACTTCTCCGACCGACAAACACCACAATGCCTAGAGCCGCCGGTCAAGCTGACATTCCCCCCGCAACCCGCCTGCGCGTCGTGCTCTTCCTCGCTGAGCGTAGCGTTCGCGGGACGCTCCTCCGCGGCGCAATTCCCGCTGCAATGACAGCGTTTAGTGTCTGCCACAACACTGTGAAGAAGCTCTGGCGCAATCGACACGATGTGAAGGCCTTAGCCGCTCCGAGGCGGGTGGTAACTCCGCGTTGGAGACGGCTGACACCCGAGGAGGTGGAACAGCTGGTACAAGCTGTACCGCTGTGCCAACGGCAAACCCAGCGGGCACTCGCGGCGGCGAGCGGCATCCTGAGGACAACTCGTCAACGCTACCTTGCCGACGGATCGCTTCACCGCGCTACGTCGCGCGTGAAGCCGTCAATTACTGCTGCCCACAAGCTGAGACGTCTGCAGTGGGCGTTATCCCACGTGGACATGCCTCTAGGTACCGTACAACAGTGACGCGATAATTGTTTGCTTTGCTATCATTTAGTTCTAGCTTCAATCGATATTATTTTGGTTCACCGATAAATTCAAATTTATTTTGAATTGGCTTGAATGTTTTCGAATAATGTGTATTATAGGTGGCTGCAGTTACCGCATGCATCACATGTACGACATGGTGCATGTGGATGAAAAGTGGTTCGACCTCTACAAAGGGGCTACAAAATACTACTAAACGGTTGCGGAGCAGCTTCCCTACCGTTCGTGCCCGAACAAAAGGTACATTGGCAAAGTCAAGTTTTTGGCAGCTGTAGCGCGTCCGCGCTACAGCTGCTTAATGTTGATGGTAAGTTGGGCGTCTGGCCTATCGTGGAGGTAAGCGAGGCTCTTTGTACCTCAGTTAATCGGCCTAGAGGTACCGCCGTCACGAAAAGTGTGACACGCCTTTGAGAACGACCATCTTCAGTGAGAGGAACCAGGCCAGCATCAAGTGGAGCAGTGAGCACTGCTCACTAAGCAGGTGCAGTTCGTGGTGGCATCCTTCACGGCGACATGACGGCCACCTGCAGAATAGAGCGGGTCTCGGCCCTATCTAGCGGCCATAAGCTCCATGGTGACAGCCGGCTACGCAGAAATTGGTGAAGAGTCCGTTGGAGAAGAGGTGGAGCATTGTGTCAACAGGTGCTGTGTGGATAGGACATGATTCAACTTGTAACGCAGTGTCACTATCAAAATTTGGGTTATGAGACCAAAACTTGGGAATTGCCCATATTATAGAACCCGCTGATTAGTGGAAATGTACTGGTCAAGTGTGACAATCATGGTACCAGATAAGGGAATGTTTCATTCAAGGGAATGATAGGCAGCTGGGGCAACTTTTTAAATGTATATCTTGTTGATAACACTACATGTATTGTGAAACCCGATTAGAATGTCTTATTGGATTGTAAATTCGCCGATTTAGTGGCTTACTAAGACCGACGACCCCCGATTTGATAAATCCGACCTCCTAATTAGACTGGGGTTCCTCGATTTATACTCAAGATTACTACCTAGGACGACTTGCAGAGTCAAAGCATATGAGTCGGATTTACATTAGCTAATCGGGCGATTAAGCCAGAGCCGGCCGATTTGCTTCCTATTCAGACGGAATGTCCGATGTGCAACCGGCATTCGCTCCTTGTAGGCTAAATCAGCCGCCAGACAACAATCGTTGCAGTCGCTCTTGGTTTACGAGTCAAGGCTACACCACTAACAGCACAGTAGAAAAATCTACACGCTACGATACAGGTTGTTGAGGTATGAAGGCGACGGGTCTAAGCGTGGTTACGCCCAAGCCATTTTTCGGACATAATCGAATTTTTCAGATGTTGTACGATACAGCTTGTTATAGACACCGGACACTTAATTTCACTATGTTCCCGTTAAAGTACGTGGCGTTTTTCTGAAAAACGCGACATGAGACCTCTCAGCAAATCCTCTAGCATGTTGTAGGTACAGCGTGGCTACGCTAATCATGTTTTAAGGCATACCATGATATCGATTTTGGCAGGGAGGTGCAGTGACCTTTTTATCAAGAGACTGGCCAGAGGAGACAGAGACGGCTATAAGAGGAGGACACATCATCATATCAAAAGACAAAACGCATGCTTGCTCACCTAACTGGCCAATGGCCTTCCTCGCTACCAGTCAAAGTTTCCCTACTCATTTGGCGACATCTCCGGAAGCCTCACCTCTACAACTAGGCGAAGCGACGTCGCCCCCAGCTTACTCCTCTCTAGCTTCCTGCTCTTCATCCTCATCCTCCTTTTCTTCAGCGTCTTCTTCAGAATCCTGACGCTTGCGCTTCTTACCTCCGCCAGTGCCAGCGGCCCGAGCCTGGATGCCGCGCCCACAACGCGGGTGCGGACGTTTGCTCCCGTTTTCCCACTTATTGTGCCAAATTGGAAAGCACGTCATAGAGTTCCCTGGGTAGTGTTTCCAGGCCTTGTTGCACCAGTACAAACTGCAGAAAGCTAGTTAGATAGACATAACCAACTTATCCGAAATGAACTACGTACCGTGCTGTGTCCGACTTGCTGCATGCTGCACAGTAGTACTTGGTAGCGCGGCGCTCTCTAACCTTGCGCTTTAGAATTGAGCACACCTTGCACTGCCGCTGCCGACGCTTACGAACGCCGTTCACGATCTGCCAGTCTGGGCATTCTACCGGCTCGTGGTCCTTTTGCAAGGGCGCCATAAGTTCTGCATCTTCGTCGTCGTCACCACTTGCTGACGGCTAGAGTAGCAATGTTAGCGACAACATGGACCCCATACAACATGTATCTGCACGCTCAGCGAATGCACTGGCATACATGTGCCAGAGACAACATGTATCTGCACGCTCAGCGAACGTACTCGCATACAACATGTACCCCATACAACATGTAGACTTACCCGCTCCACGAAATCTTATTTCTTGAGCTGCAATAACTGGGCGTGTAGCTCCAGCAAAAGTTCGGCATGCGAAGCTGGCTTGAGATCCATGCGCTTGGCCGCCTCCCGGAATACGATGTAGGCGTTCACGATTGCCACGTCTACCAGTCTTAAGAAGATAGACTTGTAGTACTTCTTGCACGACGTCTGCCCTTGCAGAGAATAGGGCTGGAGTCGGAGTTGATCGTGGATATCCACTCCACCCATCCACTGGTGGTAATCACGCACCATGGGCAGGGAACAGCATGGCGTCTACCTCCTGTGCCCCGTGTACGTCGCTCTACAATGTTACAAAAAGCACAGTTAGCCTCGACTGTAAAACAGATAATTTGATAGGTACTTACGATATGTCTCCATTGCTCTGCTTGATTCGGTTCCTAAGAACTGAACGGGCTTCCGGTCCCACCAAACTAATCCCGTCATCAATCCACAGTTCCGAGCCACCGCCATCCGCACCGCTCCATGCTGCACGCGCTTAGGACGATTGCGGTTCTTTTCCACGATTTCTTGTGGATATCCGACTTTGTCCCCCATGATAGTTCCAATTGAATATACATTGCGCTGTAGTAGCTGAAGCGCGAGCTGAACCGACGTGTAGAATCTATCCGTCACCACCAGGTGGTAAACATCGTCTAGCGGCGCTGGTAGAACGGCCTCAAGGTTGCGGGTCACTGCAACTGGCCCGGAGTTCGGGTCCGCAGAACGCTGGCTGTCCGGTACGTTGCCTAGTTCCGCCGCATGCTGGGCTTTTCCACAATATACCTCAAGGCTGTATGTTGTATAATCCAACATCACATATTACAATCAGGTGTTAGATACAACATGTTGACTTAAGCAAAAAAAAACACGACGCGGGTCCATATGGACCCGCGTCGTGTTCTCCTTACCGCATGCAGTAAGCTGTGTCTGCACAGCACGTCAGGAAGAGCTTGGTGCCCCACTTGTGCGGGTTGTTCTTGAGGTATTGGCGGGTCGGGTTGTTTCGGTTGCGGGAGGGTATGACGCCTTCATCGAACGATACGACCGGCGGTGTAGTATATCCTCGCGGGAAGGTTTCCTGCAGCGTCTTGACCACGGAGCGCACCTTCCACGCCCTGTCCGATGCTGCTTGAGGGTCGGCGTTGTTCGTGAACTGTAGGTTAGCCATGATATGCTCGAATCGATGGCGAGGCATGTAGTCGTTGAACGTTCCGCGTGCCACAGCTCCAACCCTTTCCGTAGACCAATAGTCTCGAAAACAGCGGCGCTGTGGGTTCAGCATCCGCGCCAGCAGCAATCCCAGGACGTGTATAATCTCGTGAGCTTCAATGTCGTCCTTCTTCGCCTCGCGCATCATGAACTCATCCCTTGAATTCTTGCCCGGCGTCTTTTGATTGGCATACATTCGGTCGACCCGTGTGGTCACGTTCTGCAGGAAGTACCGATTCGATTCTGCTGCCACCTTTCTCCAGAACTTCTTCGGCATGAAGAATAGAAACAAATCCAGCGGCGACTCTGCCAGCTCCAACACTTCAGAAGTCGGACCGTACGCCTCTGTGTATAAGCCTGGGTACCTCGCATCCGGAGGAAACTTCGCCGGATCTACATGACGCCACAGACAACATGATTTCGTGAGTACATGTTGTATATGCCAACATCAGATGATCACGTACCAAACTCCCAGCCACTTGATCGCATGTCCGCCATGTTGTGCTCATCCTGGGCAAACGCGCTCATCTCGTCCTTGCGCAGCTCTATCTAGTCACGAGCAGGGCGATCACTACTCGATTCCGCTGGTGTGGTTTCAGCGTCGGCTGACAGAGTTTCACCCGCAGCAACTGGCATGTCATCAATCTCGGACCCGCTGGCGTTCATTGCATCATCCCACTCGCTGCTTTCGTCTGCAGTGCCATCTCTGTGCCGGTCGTCATTGGTACGCTGGAACTCATCATCATCGTCATAGAAGCCAACCTCCGTTTCGATGTCTTCGCAGTCTGAGTTGAGCACCTCATACTCGGCCGCTTGAGGCTGGGATGATTCGGCGGCTCTATCAGTCGAATCGCGTGTCGGACTTTGAAGTGCGGAGACGCTCCTATAGTATAATCAAATCAAAGCGTCAGTCATCATGTAGTATGTCACATATGTTGTATACCATGCCATGCGATGTTGTACCTTTCTCCACCTGCGCATGTTGTATCATCCACCACTCCACTTGTTGTATGATCTTCATGCTGTACCAGACTACAAGAAATACAACATCAACAGTTAGTACATGTTGGATGGTCCACCAGATAGATAAGTTGTACCGTGGCTGCGGCGACGCCGACGATGGCCGCTGCTCAGACACAGGCGTCGCGCTGCCGTTCGATGAAGGAGAAGTGTCCACGTGATTGTCCTTCTTCGTCGTCGTCTTCTTCGTCGCTTCATCAATCTTCTTCCGTGCTTGATCCAGCTCAGACGCGCCTTTCGCTTCAGCTGCTGCCGACGCAATGCAACGCAGCTCGGCAGCAGCGCGCCGCGCCTCTTTGGTCTCTTTCGCAAGCTCCGCAGCCGTTGGCTTTCGCGGCTTCTTCGCCTGGGCCTTGGGCTTCTGCTTCGCCTTCGCCTTCGCCTTGCCCTTCGCCTTCGTCGTCTCCGGCGACACCACTTCCTCTTCCTCTAGCTCCTCCAGCTCCTCATCGTCGTCGTATTCGTTTGCCTCTTCATCCTCGTAGTCCTCATCTTCGTCGTCGGCTTCGTCCTCCGAGACGAACTCCGCATGCACCGACTTCTGCTTGCGTCGTGGAAGCGCCTTCTTGCCAGAATCTGCGTATGTTTTGGCAGCCACCACACGCCGCTACTTCGAGGCCAACTGCTTCTCCTCTCCATGTACGACGCGCTCTTGCCCATCGGCGGCGGTACATACGGCCGTGGCGTGCGTGCCGGTGGCGACGAGCAATCGTCGCCAAAGTCCGCGTCGGTGTCGCGGCGCCCTGCCAGGAAATCCGCATGCTCCTTCTGGAGACGCCGCCTCTCCCCCGCGCTCCGTCCTTCCAAGCGCTGCAAAAAGCGCTGGTGCTCACTGCGGGTTTCTCGCTGGGGCGCGCGCTTTGGTCCCATTGTCACTTCTGGGGTCTTGCGTCTCAGCCGGCGATTCTTCAAATGAGCATCAGCCACTGATTTCGGAAGAGAGGGAGCTGGGACAGCTTTTTGCTGTGGCTTCTCTGTTCCAAACCCTCTCTGTTCCAAACCCACCTACCCCTGTGCATTGGGGAGGTCGCCTTGTTATGCCCAAGATTTGCTTATACTTGATTTAAGTATACTTTTGCCGTTTTTAGAGCCAATCCCTATTAAAACATGTTGTATGTCTAAAATATACAACATGTGACATGTTGTCAGATACAACGTGTGGTCGTTGGGGGGTTAACGCCTTTACTTATCCTGCTAGCGATGTTACTAGTCCACTAAGACCATGTACATGCTGTGTAAGATCCTGCACATTTCGTTGCAACACAGCGTGATGAGGTATTCCTGTAAGTGTGCTGTCCTAGCTTCCGGGTGGTGCTAACAGCCGTTATAATCGACGCAGGGTGTCGGAGAGCCGACCCATTCGTAGGAGGCAGCCTTGACTTGAGAAAGTCCGCGTGATAGACTATTAATGTCAACACAAATCACCAATTGCTCCTGATGATGTTGGTAAACTCGGAAAATAACTAGACTTTGCGTTCTCGAGAAATCTTGCAGATGGCCAGTAGACACCAAAAATGTGATGACGGAGAAGAAATTTCGTGTTCTATTATCGATAGTCCAGCCAATGTGCGCCCACCGTACATATCGTCACATCAACATGGATGATATAGCTGTTCTGTACTGTCCCGAGTCACCATTCTGCACAAATATGGATGACGGCAGCCGACGGCCCGGCGGTGATTTGGCAAGATAAAAATGATGACAACCCCTTTCTAAATAAACGGGTTGCCAGGTTTGCCCGCTCATCATCCACCAAGTCTGCCTCTGGATACTCCTGCACCAGGAGAAATGCAAATCGTTTGCGAGGGTGTGAGGGTGGTTGTTCCGTTATGATGCTCCTTTGGCTCAGTTGGTAGAGCGTCAGTCTCATAATCTGAAGGTCGCCAGTTCGAGCCTGGCAGGGAGCACTTCTTTGCCTCTTTTGCCCTCGAATCTTATCGCCTTTTGCTGCCCCTGCACGCATGCCACAGGCAGCCGACATTGTCGCACAGATCCTCAGCGTCACGGCGAGCAGAGCTGGCTGCTCAGCCACCGGAAATTCACAGCGGAAGCCCACTTCCATCGGCTCCTACCATCGGTTCTCTCGTTGGCTCGGGTTCGAGTCGGGGAGGCGCGCTCCGATTTCGGCCGCCTTGGCTCGACTCAAACGTAAGTGAATCAGCAAGCTGAGCGCCGAAACCACGTTGTGGGCGTGTCTGTGGACTTCCGGACACGCAGAACATCTTGTACACGACGACGTGAGAGGATCGGTCTGGTGTCGAGAGCTCCGACCCGGAGCGTGTAGCGTGAGTCTGTTCGGGATTCAAACACGCCCGTAGTACTCAGTAGCATCCGCAGAAGACATGGTAGTGTCGAGAAAGACTCGGCAGCCTTCGTTCGATGACGGGGAGGGATGACATCTTTTTTGCGCGGAGGTGTGTGGAGAAGACGGGAGGCCTGTGAGCGGCCGTCCAAGGCTACGAGGCAGTCCGTGGCGTGGGCGGCGACGCGGCGATGCGGTGGTAGTGAGCGTAGGGCGTGTTTTGCGCGCAGGGGAGCTGAAAATCGTTTGCGAGGGTGTGAGGGTGGTTGTTCCGTTATGATGCTCCTTTGGCTCAGTTGGTAGAGCGTCAGTCTCATAATCTGAAGGTCGCCAGTTCGAGCCTGGCAGGGAGCACTTCTTTGCCTCTTTTGCCCTCGAATCTTATCGCCTTTTGCTACCCCTGCACGCATGCCACAGGCAGCCGACATTGTCGCACAGATCCTCAGCGTCACGGCGAGCAGAGCTGGAATTCACAGCGGAAGCCCACTTCCATCGGCTCCTACCATCGGTTTCACAGCGGAAGCCCACTTCCATCGGCTCCTACCATCGGTTCTCTCGTTGGCTCGGGTTCGAGTCGGGGAGGCGCGCTCCGATTTCGGCCGCCTTGGCTCGACTCAAACGTAAGTGAATCAGCAAGCTGAGCGCCGAAACCACGTTGTGGGCGTGTCTGTGGACTTCCGGACACGCAGAACATCTTGTACACGACGACGTGAGAGGATCGGTCTGGTGTCGAGAGCTCCGACCCGGAGCGTGTAGCGTGAGTCTGTTCGGGATTCAAACACGCCCGTAGTACTCAGTAGCATCCGCAGAAGACATGGTAGTGTCGAGAAAGACTCGGCAGCCTTCGTTCGATGACGGGGAGGGATGACATCTTTTTTGCGCGGAGGTGTGTGGAGAAGACGGGAGGCCTGTGAGCGGCCGTCCAAGGCTACGAGGCAGTCCGTGGCGTGGGCGGCGACGCGGCGATGCGGTGGTAGTGAGCGTAGGGCGTGTTTTGCGCGCAGGGGAGCTGAAAATCGTTTGCGAGGGTGTGAGGGTGGTTGTTCCGTTATGATGCTCCTTTGGCTCAGTTGGTAGAGCGTCAGTCTCATAATCTGAAGGTCGCCAGTTCGAGCCTGGCAGGGAGCACTTCTTTGCCTCTTTTGCCCTCGAATCTTATCGCCTTTTGCTGCCCCTGCACGCATGCCACAGGCAGCCGACATTGTCGCACAGATCCTCAGCGTCACGGCGAGCAGAGCTGGCTGCTCAGCCACCGGAAATTCACAGCGGAAGCCCACTTCCATCGGCTCCTACCATCGGTTCTCTCGTTGGCTCGGGTTCGAGTCGGGGAGGCGCGCTCCGATTTCGGCCGCCTTGGCTCGACTCAAACGTAAGTGAATCAGCAAGCTGAGCGCCGAAACCACGTTGTGGGCGTGTCTGTGGACTTCCGGACACGCAGAACATCTTGTACACGACGACGTGAGAGGATCGGTCTGGTGTCGAGAGCTCCGACCCGGAGCGTGTAGCGTGAGTCTGTTCGGGATTCAAACACGCCCGTAGTACTCAGTAGCATCCGCAGAAGACATGGTAGTGTCGAGAAAGACTCGGCAGCCTTCGTTCGATGACGGGGAGGGATGACATCTTTTTTGCGCGGAGGTGTGTGGAGAAGACGGGAGGCCTGTGAGCGGCCGTCCAAGGCTACGAGGCAGTCCGTGGCGTGGGCGGCGACGCGGCGATGCGGTGGTAGTGAGCGTAGGGCGTGTTTTGCGCGCAGGGGAGCTGAAAATCGTTTGCGAGGGTGTGAGGGTGGTTGTTCCGTTATGATGCTCCTTTGGCTCAGTTGGTAGAGCGTCAGTCTCATAATCTGAAGGTCGCCAGTTCGAGCCTGGCAGGGAGCACTTCTTTGCCTCTTTTGCCCTCGAATCTTATCGCCTTTTGCTGCCCCTGCACGCATGCCACAGGCAGCCGACATTGTCGCACAGATCCTCAGCGTCACGGCGAGCAGAGCTGGCTGCTCAGCCACCGGAAATTCACAGCGGAAGCCCACTTCCATCGGCTCCTACCATCGGTTCTCTCGTTGGCTCGGGTTCGAGTCGGGGAGGCGCGCTCCGATTTCGGCCGCCTTGGCTCGACTCAAACGTAAGTGAATCAGCAAGCTGAGCGCCGAAACCACGTTGTGGGCGTGTCTGTGGACTTCCGGACACGCAGAACATCTTGTACACGACGACGTGAGAGGATCGGTCTGGTGTCGAGAGCTCCGACCCGGAGCGTGTAGCGTGAGTCTGTTCGGGATTCAAACACGCCCGTAGTACTCAGTAGCATCCGCAGAAGACATGGTAGTGTCGAGAAAGACTCGGCAGCCTTCGTTCGATGACGGGGAGGGATGACATCTTTTTTGCGCGGAGGTGTGTGGAGAAGACAGGAGGCCTGTGAGCGGCCGTCCAAGGCTACGAGGCAGTCCGTGGCGTGGGCGGCGACGCGGCGATGCGGTGGTAGTGAGCGTAGGGCGTGTTTTGCGCGCAGGGGAGCTGAAAATCGTTTGCGAGGGTGTGAGGGTGGTTGTTCCGTTATGATGCTCCTTTGGCTCAGTTGGTAGAGCGTCAGTCTCATAATCTGAAGGTCGCCAGTTCGAGCCTGGCAGGGAGCACTTCTTTGCCTCTTTTGCCCTCGAATCTTATCGCCTTTTGCTGCCCCTGCACGCATGCCACAGGCAGCCGACATTGTCGCACAGATCCTCAGCGTCACGGCGAGCAGAGCTGGCTGCTCAGCCACCGGAAATTCACAGCGGAAGCCCACTTCCATCGGCTCCTACCATCGGTTCTCTCGTTGGCTCGGGTTCGAGTCGGGGAGGCGCGCTCCGATTTCGGCCGCCTTGGCTCGACTCAAACGTAAGTGAATCAGCAAGCTGAGCGCCGAAACCACGTTGTGGGCGTGTCTGTGGACTTCCGGACACGCAGAACATCTTGTACACGACGACGTGAGAGGATCGGTCTGGTGTCGAGAGCTCCGACCCGGAGCGTGTAGCGTGAGTCTGTTCGGGATTCAAACACGCCCGTAGTACTCAGTAGCATCCGCAGAAGACATGGTAGTGTCGAGAAAGACTCGGCAGCCTTCGTTCGATGACGGGGAGGGATGACATCTTTTTTGCGCGGAGGTGTGTGGAGAAGACGGGAGGCCTGTGAGCGGCCGTCCAAGGCTACGAGGCAGTCCGTGGCGTGGGCGGCGACGCGGCGATGCGGTGGTAGTGAGCGTAGGGCGTGTTTTGCGCGCAGGGGAGCTGAAAATCGTTTGCGAGGGTGTGAGGGTGGTTGTTCCGTTATGATGCTCCTTTGGCTCAGTTGGTAGAGCGTCAGTCTCATAATCTGAAGGTCGCCAGTTCGAGCCTGGCAGGGAGCACTTCTTTGCCTCTTTTGCCCTCGAATCTTATCGCCTTTTGCTGCCCCTGCACGCATGCCACAGGCAGCCGACATTGTCGCACAGATCCTCAGCGTCACGGCGAGCAGAGCTGGCTGCTCAGCCACCGGAAATTCACAGCGGAAGCCCACTTCCATCGGCTCCTACCATCGGTTCTCTCGTTGGCTCGGGTTCGAGTCGGGGAGGCGCGCTCCGATTTCGGCCGCCTTGGCTCGACTCAAACGTAAGTGAATCAGCAAGCTGAGCGCCGAAACCACGTTGTGGGTGTGTCTGTGGACTTCCGGACACGCAGAACATCTTGTACACGACGACGTAAGAGGATCGGTCTGGTGTCGAGAGCTCCGACCCGGAGCGTGTAGCGTGAGTATGTTCCGGATCCAAACACGCCCGTAGTACTCAGTAGCATCCGCAGAAGACATGGTAGTGTCGAGAAAGACTCGGCAGCCTTCGTTCGATGACGGGGAGGGATGACATCTTTTTTGCGCGGAGGTGTGTGGAGAAGACAGGAGGCCTGTGAGCGGCCGTCCAAGGCTACGAGGCAGTCCGTGGCGTGGGCGGCGACGCGGCGATGCGGTGGTAGTGAGCGTAGGGCGTGTTTTGCGCGCAGGGGAGCTGAAAATCGTTTGCGAGGGTGTGAGGGTGGTTGTTCCGTTATGATGCTCCTTTGGCTCAGTTGGTAGAGCGTCAGTCTCATAATCTGAAGGTCGCCAGTTCGAGCCTGGCAGGGAGCACTTCTTTGCCTCTTTTGCCCTCGAATCTTATCGCCTTTTGCTGCCCCTGCACGCATGCCACAGGCAGCCGACATTGTCGCACAGATCCTCAGCGTCACGGCGAGCAGAGCTGGCTGCTCAGCCACCGGAAATTCACAGCGGAAGCCCACTTCCATCGGCTCCTACCATCGGTTCTCTCGTTGGCTCGGGTTCGAGTCGGGGAGGCGCGCTCCGATTTCGGCCGCCTTGGCTCGACTCAAACGTAAGTGAATCAGCAAGCTGAGCGCCGAAACCACGTTGTGGGTGTGTCTGTGGACTTCCGGACACGCAGAACATCTTGTACACGACGACGTGAGAGGATCGGTCTGGTGTCGAGAGCTCCGACCCGGAGCGTGTAGCGTGAGTATGTTCCGGATCCAAACACGCCCGTAGTACTCAGTAGCATCCGCAGAAGACATGGTAGTGTCGAGAAAGACTCGGCAGCCTTCGTTCGATGACGGGGAGGGATGACATCTTTTTTGCGCGGAGGTGTGTGGAGAAGACAGGAGGCCTGTGAGCGGCCGTCCAAGGCTACGAGGCAGTCCGTGGCGTGGGCGGCGACGCGGCGATGCGGTGGTAGTGAGCGTAGGGCGTGTTTTGCGCGCAGGGGAGCTGAAAATCGTTTGCGAGGGTGTGAGGGTGGTTGTTCCGTTATGATGCTCCTTTGGCTCAGTTGGTAGAGCGTCAGTCTCATAATCTGAAGGTCGCCAGTTCGAGCCTGGCAGGGAGCACTTCTTTGCCTCTTTTGCCCTCGAATCTTATCGCCTTTTGCTGCCCCTGCACGCATGCCACAGGCAGCCGACATTGTCGCACAGATCCTCAGCGTCACGGCGAGCAGAGCTGGCTGCTCAGCCACCGGAAATTCACAGCGGAAGCCCACTTCCATCGGCTCCTACCATCGGTTCTCTCGTTGGCTCGGGTTCGAGTCGGGGAGGCGCGCTCCGATTTCGGCCGCCTTGGCTCGACTCAAACGTAAGTGAATCAGCAAGCTGAGCGCCGAAACCACGTTGTGGGCGTGTCTGTGGACTTCCGGACACGCAGAACATCTTGTACACGACGACGTGAGAGGATCGGTCTGGTGTCGAGAGCTCCGACCCGGAGCGTGTAGCGTGAGTATGTTCCGGATCCAAACACGCCCGTAGTACTCAGTAGCATCCGCAGAAGACATGGTAGTGTCGAGAAAGACTCGGCAGCCTTCGTTCGATGACGGGGAGGGATGACATCTTTTTTGCGCGGAGGTGTGTGGAGAAGACAGGAGGCCTGTGAGCGGCCGTCCAAGGCTACGAGGCAGTCCGTGGCGTGGGCGGCGACGCGGCGATGCGGTGGTAGTGAGCGTAGGGCGTGTTTTGCGCGCAGGGGAGCTGAAAATCGTTTGCGAGGGTGTGAGGGTGGTTGTTCCGTTATGATGCTCCTTTGGCTCAGTTGGTAGAGCGTCAGTCTCATAATCTGAAGGTCGCCAGTTCGAGCCTGGCAGGGAGCACTTCTTTGCCTCTTTTGCCCTCGAATCTTATCGCCTTTTGCTGCCCCTGCACGCATGCCACAGGCAGCCGACATTGTCGCACAGATCCTCAGCGTCACGGCGAGCAGAGCTGGCTGCTCAGCCACCGGAAATTCACAGCGGAAGCCCACTTCCATCGGCTCCTACCATCGGTTCTCTCGTTGGCTCGGGTTCGAGTCGGGGAGGCGCGCTCCGATTTCGGCCGCCTTGGCTCGACTCAAACGTAAGTGAATCAGCAAGCTGAGCGCCGAAACCACGTTGTGGGTGTGTCTGTGGACTTCCGGACACGCAGAACATCTTGTACACGACGACGTGAGAGGATCGGTCTGGTGTCGAGAGCTCCGACCCGGAGCGTGTAGCGTGAGTATGTTCCGGATCCAAACACGCCCGTAGTACTCAGTAGCATCCGCAGAAGACATGGTAGTGTCGAGAAAGACTCGGCAGCCTTCGTTCGATGACGGGGAGGGATGACATCTTTTTTGCGCGGAGGTGTGTGGAGAAGACAGGAGGCCTGTGAGCGGCCGTCCAAGGCTACGAGGCAGTCCGTGGCGTGGGCGGCGACGCGGCGATGCGGTGGTAGTGAGCGTAGGGCGTGTTTTGCGCGCAGGGGAGAAGGGCGATAAGATTCGAGGGCAAAAGAGGCAAAGAAGTGCTCCCTGCCAGGCTCGAACTGGCGACCTTCAGATTATGAGACTGACGCTCTACCAACTGAGCCAAAGGAGCATCATAACGGAACAACCACCCTCACACCCTCGCAAACGATTTTCAGCTCCCCTGCGCGCAAAACACGCCCTACGCTCACTACCACCGCATCGCCGCGTCGCCGCCCACGCCACGGACTGCCTCGTAGCCTTGGACGGCCGCTCACAGGCCTCCTGTCTTCTCCACACACCTCCGCGCAAAAAAGATGTCATCCCTCCCCGTCATCGAACGAAGGCTGCCGAGTCTTTCTCGACACTACCATGTCTTCTGCGGATGCTACTGAGTACTACGGGCGTGTTTGGATCCGGAACATACTCACGCTACACGCTCCGGGTCGGAGCTCTCGACACCAGACCGATCCTCTCACGTCGTCGTGTACAAGATGTTCTGCGTGTCCGGAAGTCCACAGACACACCCACAACGTGGTTTCGGCGCTCAGCTTGCTGATTCACTTACGTTTGAGTCGAGCCAAGGCGGCCGAAATCGGAGCGCGCCTCCCCGACTCGAACCCGAGCCAACGAGAGAACCGATGGTAGGAGCCGATGGAAGTGGGCTTCCGCTGTGAATTTCCGGTGGCTGAGCAGCCAGCTCTGCTCGCCGTGACGCTGAGGATCTGTGCGACAATGTCGGCTGCCTGTGGCATGCGTGCAGGGGCAGCAAAAGGCGATAAGATTCGAGGGCAAAAGAGGCAAAGAAGTGCTCCCTGCCAGGCTCGAACTGGCGACCTTCAGATTATGAGACTGACGCTCTACCAACTGAGCCAAAGGAGCATCATAACGGAACAACCACCCTCACACCCTCGCAAACGATTTTCAGCTCCCCTGCGCGCAAAACACGCCCTACGCTCACTACCACCGCATCGCCGCGTCGCCGCCCACGCCACGGACTGCCTCGTAGCCTTGGACGGCCGCTCACAGGCCTCCTGTCTTCTCCACACACCTCCGCGCAAAAAAGATGTCATCCCTCCCCGTCATCGAACGAAGGCTGCCGAGTCTTTCTCGACACTACCATGTCTTCTGCGGATGCTACTGAGTACTACGGGCGTGTTTGGATCCGGAACATACTCACGCTACACGCTCCGGGTCGGAGCTCTCGACACCAGACCGATCCTCTCACGTCGTCGTGTACAAGATGTTCTGCGTGTCCGGAAGTCCACAGACACACCCACAACGTGGTTTCGGCGCTCAGCTTGCTGATTCACTTACGTTTGAGTCGAGCCAAGGCGGCCGAAATCGGAGCGCGCCTCCCCGACTCGAACCCGAGCCAACGAGAGAACCGATGGTAGGAGCCGATGGAAGTGGGCTTCCGCTGTGAATTTCCGGTGGCTGAGCAGCCAGCTCTGCTCGCCGTGACGCTGAGGATCTGTGCGACAATGTCGGCTGCCTGTGGCATGCGTGCAGGGGCAGCAAAAGGCGATAAGATTCGAGGGCAAAAGAGGCAAAGAAGTGCTCCCTGCCAGGCTCGAACTGGCGACCTTCAGATTATGAGACTGACGCTCTACCAACTGAGCCAAAGGAGCATCATAACGGAACAACCACCCTCACACCCTCGCAAACGATTTTCAGCTCCCCTGCGCGCAAAACACGCCCTACGCTCACTACCACCGCATCGCCGCGTCGCCGCCCACGCCACGGACTGCCTCGTAGCCTTGGACGGCCGCTCACAGGCCTCCTGTCTTCTCCACACACCTCCGCGCAAAAAAGATGTCATCCCTCCCCGTCATCGAACGAAGGCTGCCGGGTCTTTCTCGACACTACCATGTCTTCTGCGGATGCTACTGAGTACTACGGGCGTGTTTGGATCCGGAACATACTCACGCTACACGCTCCGGGTCGGAGCTCTCGACACCAGACCGATCCTCTCACGTCGTCGTGTACAAGATGTTCTGCGTGTCCGGAAGTCCACAGACACGCCCACAACGTGGTTTCGGCGCTCAGCTTGCTGATTCACTTACGTTTGAGTCGAGCCAAGGCGGCCGAAATCGGAGCGCGCCTCCCCGACTCGAACCCGAGCCAACGAGAGAACCGATGGTAGGAGCCGATGGAAGTGGGCTTCCGCTGTGAATTTCCGGTGGCTGAGCAGCCAGCTCTGCTCGCCGTGACGCTGAGGATCTGTGCGACAATGTCGGCTGCCTGTGGCATGCGTGCAGGGGCAGCAAAAGGCGATAAGATTCGAGGGCAAAAGAGGCAAAGAAGTGCTCCCTGCCAGGCTCGAACTGGCGACCTTCAGATTATGAGACTGACGCTCTACCAACTGAGCCAAAGGAGCATCATAACGGAACAACCACCCTCACACCCTCGCAAACGATTTTCAGCTCCCCTGCGCGCAAAACACGCCCTACGCTCACTACCACCGCATCGCCGCGTCGCCGCCCACGCCACGGACTGCCTCGTAGCCTTGGACGGCCGCTCACAGGCCTCCTGTCTTCTCCACACACCTCCGCGCAAAAAAGATGTCATCCCTCCCCGTCATCGAACGAAGGCTGCCGAGTCTTTCTCGACACTACCATGTCTTCTGCGGATGCTACTGAGTACTACGGGCGTGTTTGGATCCGGAACATACTCACGCTACACGCTCCGGGTCGGAGCTCTCGACACCAGACCGATCCTCTCACGTCGTCGTGTACAAGATGTTCTGCGTGTCCGGAAGTCCACAGACACACCCACAACGTGGTTTCGGCGCTCAGCTTGCTGATTCACTTACGTTTGAGTCGAGCCAAGGCGGCCGAAATCGGAGCGCGCCTCCCCGACTCGAACCCGAGCCAACGAGAGAACCGATGGTAGGAGCCCCGTGACGCTGAGGATCTGTGCGACAATGTCGGCTGCCTGTGGCATGCGTGCAGGGGCAGCAAAGGCGATAAGATTCGAGGGCAAAAGAGGCAAAGAAGTGCTCCCTGCCAGGCTCGAACTGGCGACCTTCAGATTATGAGACTGACGCTCTACCAACTGAGCCAAAGGAGCATCATAACGGAACAACCACCCTCACACCCTCGCAAACGATTTTCAGCTCCCCTGCGCGCAAAACACGCCCTACGCTCACTACCACCGCATCGCCGCGTCGCCGCCCACGCCACGGACTGCCTCGTAGCCTTGGACGGCCGCTCACAGGCCTCCTGTCTTCTCCACACACCTCCGCGCAAAAAAGATGTCATCCCTCCCCGTCATCGAACGAAGGCTGCCGAGTCTTTCTCGACACTACCATGTCTTCTGCGGATGCTACTGAGTACTACGGGCGTGTTTGGATCCGGAACATACTCACGCTACACGCTCCGGGTCGGAGCTCTCGACACCAGACCGATCCTCTCACGTCGTCGTGTACAAGATGTTCTGCGTGTCCGGAAGTCCACAGACACACCCACAACGTGGTTTCGGCGCTCAGCTTGCTGATTCACTTACGTTTGAGTCGAGCCAAGGCGGCCGAAATCGGAGCGCGCCTCCCCGACTCGAACCCGAGCCAACGAGAGAACCGATGGTAGGAGCCGATGGAAGTGGGCTTCCGCTGTGAATTTCCGGTGGCTGAGCAGCCAGCTCTGCTCGCCGTGACGCTGAGGATCTGTGCGACAATGTCGGCTGCCTGTGGCATGCGTGCAGGGGCAGCAAAAGGCGATAAGATTCGAGGGCAAAAGAGGCAAAGAAGTGCTCCCTGCCAGGCTCGAACTGGCGACCTTCAGATTATGAGACTGACGCTCTACCAACTGAGCCAAAGGAGCATCATAACGGAACAACCACCCTCACACCCTCGCAAACGATTTTCAGCTCCCCTGCGCGCAAAACACGCCCTACGCTCACTACCACCGCATCGCCGCGTCGCCGCCCACGCCACGGACTGCCTCGTAGCCTTGGACGGCCGCTCACAGGCCTCCTGTCTTCTCCACACACCTCCGCGCAAAAAAGATGTCATCCCTCCCCGTCATCGAACGAAGGCTGCCGAGTCTTTCTCGACACTACCATGTCTTCTGCGGATGCTACTGAGTACTACGGGCGTGTTTGGATCCGGAACATACTCACGCTACACGCTCCGGGTCGGAGCTCTCGACACCAGACCGATCCTCTTACGTCGTCGTGTACAAGATGTTCTGCGTGTCCGGAAGTCCACAGACACACCCACAACGTGGTTTCGGCGCTCAGCTTGCTGATTCACTTACGTTTGAGTCGAGCCAAGGCGGCCGAAATCGGAGCGCGCCTCCCCGACTCGAACCCGAGCCAACGAGAGAACCGATGGTAGGAGCCGATGGAAGTGGGCTTCCGCTGTGAATTTCCGGTGGCTGAGCAGCCAGCTCTGCTCGCCGTGACGCTGAGGATCTGTGCGACAATGTCGGCTGCCTGTGGCATGCGTGCAGGGGCAGCAAAAGGCGATAAGATTCGAGGGCAAAAGAGGCAAAGAAGTGCTCCCTGCCAGGCTCGAACTGGCGACCTTCAGATTATGAGACTGACGCTCTACCAACTGAGCCAAAGGAGCATCATAACGGAACAACCACCCTCACACCCTCGCAAACGATTTTCAGCTCCCCTGCGCGCAAAACACGCCCTACGCTCACTACCACCGCATCGCCGCGTCGCCGCCCACGCCACGGACTGCCTCGTAGCCTTGGACGGCCGCTCACAGGCCTCCCGTCTTCTCCACACACCTCCGCGCAAAAAAGATGTCATCCCTCCCCGTCATCGAACGAAGGCTGCCGAGTCTTTCTCGACACTACCATGTCTTCTGCGGATGCTACTGAGTACTACGGGCGTGTTTGGATCCGGAACATACTCACGCTACACGCTCCGGGTCGGAGCTCTCGACACCAGACCGATCCTCTCACGTCGTCGTGTACAAGATGTTCTGCGTGTCCGGAAGTCCACAGACACGCCCACAACGTGGTTTCGGCGCTCAGCTTGCTGATTCACTTACGTTTGAGTCGAGCCAAGGCGGCCGAAATCGGAGCGCGCCTCCCCGACTCGAACCCGAGCCAACGAGAGAACCGATGGTAGGAGCCGATGGAAGTGGGCTTCCGCTGTGAATTTCCGGTGGCTGAGCAGCCAGCTCTGCTCGCCGTGACGCTGAGGATCTGTGCGACAATGTCGGCTGCCTGTGGCATGCGTGCAGGGGCAGCAAAAGGCGATAAGATTCGAGGGCAAAAGAGGCAAAGAAGTGCTCCCTGCCAGGCTCGAACTGGCGACCTTCAGATTATGAGACTGACGCTCTACCAACTGAGCCAAAGGAGCATCATAACGGAACAACCACCCTCACACCCTCGCAAACGATTTTCAGCTCCCCTGCGCGCAAAACACGCCCTACGCTCACTACCACCGCATCGCCGCGTCGCCGCCCACGCCACGGACTGCCTCGTAGCCTTGGACGGCCGCTCACAGGCCTCCTGTCTTCTCCACACACCTCCGCGCAAAAAAGATGTCATCCCTCCCCGTCATCGAACGAAGGCTGCCGGGTCTTTCTCGACACTACCATGTCTTCTGCGGATGCTACTGAGTACTACGGGCGTGTTTGGATCCGGAACATACTCACGCTACACGCTCCGGGTCGGAGCTCTCGACACCAGACCGATCCTCTCACGTCGTCGTGTACAAGATGTTCTGCGTGTCCGCAAGAGGTTCTGCGTGTCCGGAAGTCCACAGACACGCCCACAACGTGGTTTCGGCGCTCAGCTTGCTGATTCACTTACGTTTGAGTCGAGCCAAGGCGGCCGAAATCGGAGCGCGCCTCCCCGACTCGAACCCGAGCCAACGAGAGAACCGATGGTAGGAGCCGATGGAAGTGGGCTTCCGCTGTGAATTTCCGGTGGCTGAGCAGCCAGCTCTGCTCGCCGTGACGCTGAGGATCTGTGCGACAATGTCGGCTGCCTGTGGCATGCGTGCAGGGGCAGCAAAAGGCGATAAGATTCGAGGGCAAAAGAGGCAAAGAAGTGCTCCCTGCCAGGCTCGAACTGGCGACCTTCAGATTATGAGACTGACGCTCTACCAACTGAGCCAAAGGAGCATCATAACGGAACAACCACCCTCACACCCTCGCAAACGATTTTCAGCTCCCCTGCGCGCAAAACACGCCCTACGCTCACTACCACCGCATCGCCGCGTCGCCGCCCACGCCACGGACTGCCTCGTAGCCTTGGACGGCCGCTCACAGGCCTCCTGTCTTCTCCACACACCTCCGCGCAAAAAAGATGTCATCCCTCCCCGTCATCGAACGAAGGCTGCCGAGTCTTTCTCGACACTACCATGTCTTCTGCGGATGCTACTGAGTACTACGGGCGTGTTTGGATCCGGAACATACTCACGCTACACGCTCCGGGTCGGAGCTCTCGACACCAGACCGATCCTCTTACGTCGTCGTGTACAAGATGTTCTGCGTGTCCGGAAGTCCACAGACACACCCACAACGTGGTTTCGGCGCTCAGCTTGCTGATTCACTTACGTTTGAGTCGAGCCAAGGCGGCCGAAATCGGAGCGCGCCTCCCCGACTCGAACCCGAGCCAACGAGAGAACCGATGGTAGGAGCCGATGGAAGTGGGCTTCCGCTGTGAATTTCCGGTGGCTGAGCAGCCAGCTCTGCTCGCCGTGACGCTGAGGATCTGTGCGACAATGTCGGCTGCCTGTGGCATGCGTGCAGGGGCAGCAAAAGGCGATAAGATTCGAGGGCAAAAGAGGCAAAGAAGTGCTCCCTGCCAGGCTCGAACTGGCGACCTTCAGATTATGAGACTGACGCTCTACCAACTGAGCCAAAGGAGCATCATAACGGAACAACCACCCTCACACCCTCGCAAACGATTTTCAGCTCCCCTGCGCGCAAAACACGCCCTACGCTCACTACCACCGCATCGCCGCGTCGCCGCCCACGCCACGGACTGCCTCGTAGCCTTGGACGGCCGCTCACAGGCCTCCTGTCTTCTCCACACACCTCCGCGCAAAAAAGATGTCATCCCTCCCCGTCATCGAACGAAGGCTGCCGAGTCTTTCTCGACACTACCATGTCTTCTGCGGATGCTACTGAGTACTACGGGCGTGTTTGGATCCGGAACATACTCACGCTACACGCTCCGGGTCGGAGCTCTCGACACCAGACCGATCCTCTCACGTCGTCGTGTACAAGATGTTCTGCGTGTCCGGAAAACGTAAGTGAATCAGCAAGCTGAGCGCCGAAACCACGTTGTGGGTGTGTCTGTGGACTTCCGGACACGCAGAACATCTTGTACACGACGACGTGAGAGGATCGGTCTGGTGTCGAGAGCTCCGACCCGGAGCGTGTAGCGTGAGTATGTTCCGGATCCAAACACGCCCGTAGTACTCAGTAGCATCCGCAGAAGACATGGTAGTGTCGAGAAAGACTCGGCAGCCTTCGTTCGATGACGGGGAGGGATGACATCTTTTTTGCGCGGAGGTGTGTGGAGAAGACAGGAGGCCTGTGAGCGGCCGTCCAAGGCTACGAGGCAGTCCGTGGCGTGGGCGGCGACGCGGCGATGCGGTGGTAGTGAGCGTAGGGCGTGTTTTGCGCGCAGGGGAGCTGAAAATCGTTTGCGAGGGTGTGAGGGTGGTTGTTCCGTTATGATGCTCCTTTGGCTCAGTTGGTAGAGCGTCAGTCTCATAATCTGAAGGTCGCCAGTTCGAGCCTGGCAGGGAGCACTTCTTTGCCTCTTTTGCCCTCGAATCTTATCGCCTTTTGCTGCCCCTGCACGCATGCCACAGGCAGCCGACATTGTCGCACAGATCCTCAGCGTCACGGCGAGCAGAGCTGGCTGCTCAGCCACCGGAAATTCACAGCGGAAGCCCACTTCCATCGGCTCCTACCATCGGTTCTCTCGTTGGCTCGGGTTCGAGTCGGGGAGGCGCGCTCCGATTTCGGCCGCCTTGGCTCGACTCAAACGTAAGTGAATCAGCAAGCTGAGCGCCGAAACCACGTTGTGGGCGTGTCTGTGGACTTCCGGACACGCAAAACATCTTGTACACGACGACGTGAGAGGATCGGTCTGGTGTCGAGAGCTCCGACCCGGAGCGTGTAGCGTGAGTATGTTCCGGATCCAAACACGCCCGTAGTACTCAGTAGCATCCGCAGAAGACATGGTAGTGTCGAGAAAGACCCGGCAGCCTTCGTTCGATGACGGGGAGGGATGACATCTTTTTTGCGCGGAGGTGTGTGGAGAAGACAGGAGGCCTGTGAGCGGCCGTCCAAGGCTACGAGGCAGTCCGTGGCGTGGGCGGCGACGCGGCGATGCGGTGGTAGTGAGCGTAGGGCGTGTTTTGCGCGCAGGGGAGCTGAAAATCGTTTGCGAGGGTGTGAGGGTGGTTGTTCCGTTATGATGCTCCTTTGGCTCAGTTGGTAGAGCGTCAGTCTCATAATCTGAAGGTCGCCAGTTCGAGCCTGGCAGGGAGCACTTCTTTGCCTCTTTTGCCCTCGAATCTTATCGCCTTTTGCTGCCCCTGCACGCATGCCACAGGCAGCCGACATTGTCGCACAGATCCTCAGCGTCACGGCGAGCAGAGCTGGCTGCTCAGCCACCGGAAATTCACAGCGGAAGCCCACTTCCATCGGCTCCTACCATCGGTTCTCTCGTTGGCTCGGGTTCGAGTCGGGGAGGCGCGCTCCGATTTCGGCCGCCTTGGCTCGACTCAAACGTAAGTGAATCAGCAAGCTGAGCGCCGAAACCACGTTGTGGGCGTGTCTGTGGACTTCCGGACACGCAGAACATCTTGTACACGACGACGTGAGAGGATCGGTCTGGTGTCGAGAGCTCCGACCCGGAGCGTGTAGCGTGAGTATGTTCCGGATCCAAACACGCCCGTAGTACTCAGTAGCATCCGCAGAAGACATGGTAGTGTCGAGAAAGACCCGGCAGCCTTCGTTCGATGACGGGGAGGGATGACATCTTTTTTGCGCGGAGGTGTGTGGAGAAGACAGGAGGCCTGTGAGCGGCCGTCCAAGGCTACGAGGCAGTCCGTGGCGTGGGCGGCGACGCGGCGATGCGGTGGTAGTGAGCGTAGGGCGTGTTTTGCGCGCAGGGGAGCTGAAAATCGTTTGCGAGGGTGTGAGGGTGGTTGTTCCGTTATGATGCTCCTTTGGCTCAGTTGGTAGAGCGTCAGTCTCATAATCTGAAGGTCGCCAGTTCGAGCCTGGCAGGGAGCACTTCTTTGCCTCTTTTGCCCTCGAATCTTATCGCCTTTTGCTGCCCCTGCACGCATGCCACAGGCAGCCGACATTGTCGCACAGATCCTCAGCGTCACGGCGAGCAGAGCTGGCTGCTCAGCCACCGGAAATTCACAGCGGAAGCCCACTTCCATCGGCTCCTACCATCGGTTCTCTCGTTGGCTCGGGTTCGAGTCGGGGAGGCGCGCTCCGATTTCGGCCGCCTTGGCTCGACTCAAACGTAAGTGAATCAGCAAGCTGAGCGCCGAAACCACGTTGTGGGCGTGTCTGTGGACTTCCGGACACGCAGAACATCTTGTACACGACGACGTGAGAGGATCGGTCTGGTGTCGAGAGCTCCGACCCGGAGCGTGTAGCGTGAGTCTGTTCCGGATCCAAACACGCCCGTAGTACTCAGTAGCATCCGCAGAAGACATGGTAGTGTCGAGAAAGACCCGGCAGCCTTCGTTCGATGACGGGGAGGGATGACATCTTTTTTGCGCGGAGGTGTGTGGAGAAGACAGGAGGCCTGTGAGCGGCCGTCCAAGGCTACGAGGCAGTCCGTGGCGTGGGCGGCGACGCGGCGATGCGGTGGTAGTGAGCGTAGGGCGTGTTTTGCGCGCAGGGGAGCTGAAAATCGTTTGCGAGGGTGTGAGGGTGGTTGTTCCGTTATGATGCTCCTTTGGCTCAGTTGGTAGAGCGTCAGTCTCATAATCTGAAGGTCGCCAGTTCGAGCCTGGCAGGGAGCACTTCTTTGCCTCTTTTGCCCTCGAATCTTATCGCCTTTTGCTGCCCCTGCACGCATGCCACAGGCAGCCGACATTGTCGCACAGATCCTCAGCGTCACGGCGAGCAGAGCTGGCTGCTCAGCCACCGGAAATTCACAGCGGAAGCCCACTTCCATCGGCTCTTACCATCGGTTCTCTCGTTGGCTCGGGTTCGAGTCGGGGAGGCGCGCTCCGATTTCGGCCGCCTTGGCTCGACTCAAACGTAAGTGAATCAGCAAGCTGAGCGCCGAAACCACGTTGTGGGCGTGTCTGTGGACTTCCGGACACGCAGAACATCTTGTACACGACGACGTGAGAGGATCGGTCGCCAGTTCGAGCCTGGCAGGGAGCACTTCTTTGCCTCTTTTGCCCTCGAATCTTATCGCCTTTGCTGCCCCTGCACGCATGCCACAGGCAGCCGACATTGTCGCACAGATCCTCAGCGTCACGGCGAGCAGAGCTGGCTGCTCAGCCACCGGAAATTCACAGCGGAAGCCCACTTCCATCGGCTCCTACCATCGGTTCTCTCGTTGGCTCGGGTTCGAGTCGGGGAGGCGCGCTCCGATTTCGGCCGCCTTGGCTCGACTCAAACGTAAGTGAATCAGCAAGCTGAGCGCCGAAACCACGTTGTGGGCGTGTCTGTGGACTTCCGGACACGCAGAACATCTTGTACACGACGACGTGAGAGGATCGGTCTGGTGTCGAGAGCTCCGACCCGGAGCGTGTAGCGTGAGTATGTTCCGGATCCAAACACGCCCGTAGTACTCAGTAGCATCCGCAGAAGACATGGTAGTGTCGAGAAAGACTCGGCAGCCTTCGTTCGATGACGGGGAGGGATGACATCTTTTTTGCGCGGAGGTGTGTGGAGAAGACAGGAGGCCTGTGAGCGGCCGTCCAAGGCTACGAGGCAGTCCGTGGCGTGGGCGGCGACGCGGCGATGCGGTGGTAGTGAGCGTAGGGCGTGTTTTGCGCGCAGGGGAGCTGAAAATCGTTTGCGAGGGTGTGAGGGTGGTTGTTCCGTTATGATGCTCCTTTGGCTCAGTTGGTAGAGCGTCAGTCTCATAATCTGAAGGTCGCCAGTTCGAGCCTGGCAGGGAGCACTTCTTTGCCTCTTTTGCCCTCGAATCTTATCGCCTTTGCTGCCCCTGCACGCATGCCACAGGCAGCCGACATTGTCGCACAGATCCTCAGCGTCACGGCGAGCAGAGCTGGCTGCTCAGCCACCGGAAATTCACAGCGGAAGCCCACTTCCATCGGCTCCTACCATCGGTTCTCTCGTTGGCTCGGGTTCGAGTCGGGGAGGCGCGCTCCGATTTCGGCCGCCTTGGCTCGACTCAAACGTAAGTGAATCAGCAAGCTGAGCGCCGAAACCACGTTGTGGGCGTGTCTGTGGACTTCCGGACACGCAGAACATCTTGTACACGACGACGTGAGAGGATCGGTCTGGTGTCGAGAGCTCCGACCCGGAGCGTGTAGCGTGAGTATGTTCCGGATCCAAACACGCCCGTAGTACTCAGTAGCATCCGCAGAAGACATGGTAGTGTCGAGAAAGACTCGGCAGCCTTCGTTCGATGACGGGGAGGGATGACATCTTTTTTGCGCGGAGGTGTGTGGAGAAGACAGGAGGCCTGTGAGCGGCCGTCCAAGGCTACGAGGCAGTCCGTGGCGTGGGCGGCGACGCGGCGATGCGGTGGTAGTGAGCGTAGGGCGTGTTTTGCGCGCAGGGGAGCTGAAAATCGTTTGCGAGGGTGTGAGGGTGGTTGTTCCGTTATGATGCTCCTTTGGCTCAGTTGGTAGAGCGTCAGTCTCATAATCTGAAGGTCGCCAGTTCGAGCCTGGCAGGGAGCACTTCTTTGCCTCTTTTGCCCTCGAATCTTATCGCCTTTTGCTGCCCCTGCACGCATGCCACAGGCAGCCGACATTGTCGCACAGATCCTCAGCGTCACGGCGAGCAGAGCTGGCTGCTCAGCCACCGGAAATTCACAGCGGAAGCCCACTTCCATCGGCTCCTACCATCGGTTCTCTCGTTGGCTCGGGTTCGAGTCGGGGAGGCGCGCTCCGATTTCGGCCGCCTTGGCTCGACTCAAACGTAAGTGAATCAGCAAGCTGAGCGCCGAAACCACGTTGTGGGCGTGTCTGTGGACTTCCGGACACGCAGAACATCTTGTACACGACGACGTGAGAGGATCGGTCTGGTGTCGAGAGCTCCGACCCGGAGCGTGTAGCGTGAGTCTGTTCCGGATCCAAACACGCCCGTAGTACTCAGTAGCATCCGCAGAAGACATGGTAGTGTCGAGAAAGACCCGGCAGCCTTCGTTCGATGACGGGGAGGGATGACATCTTTTTTGCGCGGAGGTGTGTGGAGAAGACAGGAGGCCTGTGAGCGGCCGTCCAAGGCTACGAGGCAGTCCGTGGCGTGGGCGGCGACGCGGCGATGCGGTGGTAGTGAGCGTAGGGCGTGTTTTGCGCGCAGGGGAGCTGAAAATCGTTTGCGAGGGTGTGAGGGTGGTTGTTCCGTTATGATGCTCCTTTGGCTCAGTTGGTAGAGCGTCAGTCTCATAATCTGAAGGTCGCCAGTTCGAGCCTGGCAGGGAGCACTTCTTTGCCTCTTTTGCCCTCGAATCTTATCGCCTTTTGCTGCCCCTGCACGCATGCCACAGGCAGCCGACATTGTCGCACAGATCCTCAGCGTCACGGCGAGCAGAGCTGGCTGCTCAGCCACCGGAAATTCACAGCGGAAGCCCACTTCCATCGGCTCCTACCATCGGTTCTCTCGTTGGCTCGGGTTCGAGTCGGGGAGGCGCGCTCCGATTTCGGCCGCCTTGGCTCGACTCAAACGTAAGTGAATCAGCAAGCTGAGCGCCGAAACCACGTTGTGGGCGTGTCTGTGGACTTCCGGACACGCAGAACATCTTGTACACGACGACGTGAGAGGATCGGTCTGGTGTCGAGAGCTCCGACCCGGAGCGTGTAGCGTGAGTCTGTTCCGGATCCAAACACGCCCGTAGTACTCAGTAGCATCCGCAGAAGACATGGTAGTGTCGAGAAAGACCCGGCAGCCTTCGTTCGATGACGGGGAGGGATGACATCTTTTTTGCGCGGAGGTGTGTGGAGAAGACAGGAGGCCTGTGAGCGGCCGTCCAAGGCTACGAGGCAGTCCGTGGCGTGGGCGGCGACGCGGCGATGCGGTGGTAGTGAGCGTAGGGCGTGTTTTGCGCGCAGGGGAGCTGAAAATCGTTTGCGAGGGTGTGAGGGTGGTTGTTCCGTTATGATGCTCCTTTGGCTCAGTTGGTAGAGCGTCAGTCTCATAATCTGAAGGTCGCCAGTTCGAGCCTGGCAGGGAGCACTTCTTTGCCTCTTTTGCCCTCGAATCTTATCGCCTTTGCTGCCCCTGCACGCATGCCACAGGCAGCCGACATTGTCGCACAGATCCTCAGCGTCACGGCGAGCAGAGCTGGCTGCTCAGCCACCGGAAATTCACAGCGGAAGCCCACTTCCATCGGCTCCTACCATCGGTTCTCTCGTTGGCTCGGGTTCGAGTCGGGGAGGCGCGCTCCGATTTCGGCCGCCTTGGCTCGACTCAAACGTAAGTGAATCAGCAAGCTGAGCGCCGAAACCACGTTGTGGGCGTGTCTGTGGACTTCCGGACACGCAGAACATCTTGTACACGACGACGTGAGAGGATCGGTCTGGTGTCGAGAGCTCCGACCCGGAGCGTGTAGCGTGAGTCTGTTCCGGATCCAAACACGCCCGTAGTACTCAGTAGCATCCGCAGAAGACATGGTAGTGTCGAGAAAGACCCGGCAGCCTTCGTTCGATGACGGGGAGGGATGACATCTTTTTTGCGCGGAGGTGTGTGGAGAAGACAGGAGGCCTGTGAGCGGCCGTCCAAGGCTACGAGGCAGTCCGTGGCGTGGGCGGCGACGCGGCGATGCGGTGGTAGTGAGCGTAGGGCGTGTTTTGCGCGCAGGGGAGCTGAAAATCGTTTGCGAGGGTGTGAGGGTGGTTGTTCCGTTATGATGCTCCTTTGGCTCAGTTGGTAGAGCGTCAGTCTCATAATCTGAAGGTCGCCAGTTCGAGCCTGGCAGGGAGCACTTCTTTGCCTCTTTTGCCCTCGAATCTTATCGCCTTTGCTGCCCCTGCACGCATGCCACAGGCAGCCGACATTGTCGCACAGATCCTCAGCGTCACGGCGAGCAGAGCTGGCTGCTCAGCCACCGGAAATTCACAGCGGAAGCCCACTTCCATCGGCTCTTACCATCGGTTCTCTCGGAATACATAACTTCGGGGGAGTGATCAGGTACCCCTGTAACTCCAAGTAGTCTGTTTTTGAAGCCACGCCATTTTAGCTCCGAAACTTGGAATGGCTCCAGAAACTTCAGTTCTCTATTAAGGTCTGGGGATTAGTACTGGGATAGGAAGCAACGTTAGTGCTGCTATCGCAGACCAAATAGGATTATATCCGTGGTACATCAAGTCAAACGATGACTCCTCTTGACATCTAACTGGTACATTTTCTTGAAACCGGTACGTCTCCGGTGCCGCACTGGGCCCTCCAAGAGGTTTATATGCATGGGCAGATCGCACCGGTACGATACTCATCACACTGGTATGACGCCGGCGCCACAAGCGTGGGCAGATCGAACCGGTGCACTACCGACAACACTGGTATGAATCAATCAGTATATGTCTGGGTACATATGGACGAAATGAGCATTTGGATTTTTCTACAAGCTCTAAACAGATATCAACCAAGGTTCGCATTTTTAATATTGTAAAGCATTGCCGGTAGACAGTTTGAATTGGCAAATTTCCGGGCAGATGCTGCGGCTGCGAAGCAGGCGCAGGAGATGACCGTAGCTAATAAGAAAAATATAATAAAAAATAAAAAGAAGGGGTTTATACCAAAATTCTCCTATCCCAGCCTTCGCGGAGCCCTAGTACCGTGGGACAGTCAAAAGGGGCAGTTTGACAGGTAATACGCTAGAAGTCGAAGACGGATGACGGTAACTCAACGTTGAGATGCAGCAGCGGAGTTCAGATAAGGAACAGTTCGACTTAAGAGTGCCTTAACTCTCAATTGCTACAGTCTGTTGGAGATGAGTGCACATCCGACCACGATTTGAATTGGCTTGCTCATCAGTTATCTAGAAGGTTCAAAATTAAACGTTTAGGTCCATCTAAATTCTAGTTTTTAGAAGCCTGGACTGCTTAGCAACTTTTCAAATTCCCCCCAAAAGGAGCTCAACCCATTTCTAACCTCTGGCACATATTCGCAAACCGTACGCATTTGACTAACACCAAATGGCAGGTGGCGATACGCGCGGGTCGCGGCGCTCTGACGGCTTCTCCCGTCGCCGGCGCCGCAGCCCCAGCGACGAGGATACCTCCACACGCTCGCAGGATGCAGGCGACCACTCTGACGTCGAAATTATCCACGACTTCCGCTCCAAGCGCGAGCTGGAAGCCGCCGAAGACGAGGCTAAGCTGACGCCCGAGGCGCGCGAGCGACTGCGCGACCGCGAGGAGCGCGACGCCTTCGCCGAGCGATTACGTCAGCGCGACGAGGACCGGACCAAGCGCAAACGCAAGGCCGACGAGCTGGAGGCGTCCGAAGGCGCGGGCGGACTCACGCGCGACGAGATCAAGCAACTGGCCACGAGGGGGACAGTTGACGCTGGACAGGACGCGCTCGGGGACAAGCTGAGACGCCTCCGCGAGCTGAGCAGGCAGGAATACCTCAAAAAGAGGGAGGAGAAGGAGCTGGAACTGCTGGAGTTCCAGCTGAAAGACGAGGACGTGCTCTTTGAGGGCGGCAAGAGGTCCAGGAAGGAGGAGGAGCAGCTTGAGCTCAACCGGAGGATCCTGGAGACAGCCAAGGCCAGGTCCAAGAAAGAGGAGACCGAGGGCTACCAGATCCCTGACTCCTATGAGGAGGTGGACGATGAGGGCAACAGGATCAGGAAGAAGGAGGATTTGCTGACGGACAGGTATGAGGAGGAGGAGGTGTTCCACACGGAGCAGGAGGTGTGGGAGGAGACGCAGGTCAAGATGGCTACGAGCAGGTTCGGAGCCAAGGATAAACGCAAGAAGAAGACGGAGGAGGAGGATGAACTGGTCTTTGACGACCAGATCGACTTCATCTCGCAGCAGATGCTCTCAGGGCATCATGTGAGTGACGAGGACGTCAAGGAAGCGAGAAAGAAGATGGAGGAGGCCAAGCACCTGAGCATTCAAGAGGGAAGGAAGCAGCTACCTGTGTACCCCTATCGTGAATCGCTGCTGGAAGCGATTCGGAACTATCCTGTCATTATCATTGAAGGAGAAACGGGATCGGGCAAAACGACGCAGATTCCACAGTATCTGCATGAGGTTGGGTACTCGGAGCTGGGCACTATTGGCTGTACGCAGCCAAGACGTGTCGCTGCGATGAGTGTGGCTGCGCGTGTGGCACAGGAAATGGATGTGAAACTGGGCAATGAAGTGGGATACTCGATTCGTTTCGAGGACTGCACTAGCGACAAGACTGTGATCAAGTACATGACGGATGGTATGTTGCTACGTGAGTTTTTGACCGAGCCAGACTTGAAGTCGTACAGTGTCATGATCATTGATGAGGCGCACGAACGGACCTTGAACACGGATATTTTGTTCGGCCTCATCAAGGATATCGCGCGTTTCCGTGATGATATCAAGATCATCGTGGCTAGTGCGACGCTGGATGCAACTAAGTTCAGCGCTTACTTCGACGATGCCCCGATTTTTAAGATCCCCGGACGCATGTTCCCCGTTGATATTCTGTACACGAAGGCTCCTGAGGCTGACTACCTGGATGCGGCCATCGTGACAGTCCTCCAGATTCACATTACCCAGCCCCTCGGAGACATCCTCGTCTTCTTTACTGGCCAAGAGGAAATCGAAGCAGCCGAAGAGATATTACTCCAGCGCACCCGTGGCCTTGGTTCTCGAATACGCGAGCTGCTCATTCGACCGATTTACGCAACCTTGCCTTCGGAACGCCAGGCTCAGGTGTTTGAGCCAACTCCAGAGGGAGCTCGCAAGGTGGTGCTGAGTACGAATATTGCGGAGACATCGTTGACCATCGCAGGCATCTGCTATGTGATTGATACAGGCTTCTGCAAGCAGACGAACTACAACGCGCAAACCGGCATGGAGTCTTTGCTGGTGGCGCCAGTGTCGCAGGCTATGGCAAACCAGCGTGCTGGTCGTGCAGGTCGTACAGCGCCTGGCAAGTGCTTCCGTCTGTACACAGCGTGGTCGTACAAGAACGAGCTGGACGAGAACACAGTGCCCGAAATTCAGCGCACGAACCTTGCCAGTGTTGTGCTGCTCATGAAGTCGCTAGGTATCAACGACCTGCTTCACTTCGACTTCATGGACCCTCCACCTGAGAAGGCACTCATTCGCTCGTTGGAGCAATTGTACGCTCTCGGAGCTCTGAATGGCCTGGGTGAACTCACGAAACTTGGTCGTCGAATGGCTGAGTTCCCGTTGGACCCCATGATGTCCAAGGCACTGCTTGCTTCGGAAAAGTTCGGCTGCACCGAAGAAGTGATGACGATCTGCGCCATGCTGAGTGTCAACAACTCGATCTTCTACCGACCCAAGGACAAGGCCGTCCACGCTGATAACGCGCGCCTGAACTTCGCTCGGGGCGGTGGCGGTGACCACATCACGTTGATGAATGTCTACAACCAGTGGGTCGAGACGAACTACTCGACGCAGTGGACCTACGAGAACTTCGTGATCATGCGCTCACTAAAGACTGCGCGCGACGTCCGAGAGCAGCTCGAAGGCCTCTGCGATCGCGTGGAGCTGGAGCGTACGAGCAACCGCAGCGACCACGAGCCGATCCGCAAGGCCATCTGCGCCGGCTACTTCTACAACACGGCCAAGCTGGACAACTCGGGCCACTACAAGACGGTCAAGAAGGCGCAGTCCGTGTACATCCACCCGAGCTCGTGCCTCATCAAGCTGGAAGAAGTCCCGCGCTGGGTCGTGTACCACGAGCTGGCCTTCACGACGAAGGAATACATGCGCAACGTGATCCCCATCAAGTCCGAGTGGCTGATGGAGCTCGCGCCGCATTATTATAAAAACAAGGAGGTCGAGGACGCTCGCACGAAGAAGATGCCCAAGGCGGTTGGCCGGGCTGGTTAAAACAATGAATAGATAGGGAACCTCTAAAGGTTTGAATGCTTCGTTAATGGCAAGTCGTTGTTGCAGCCTTTTGGCTTGGCATGTACAGTATGAGACGCGGTACCCGATTCGTGGTACAGAGAAGAGCATTTTTTTTTGACAAAGGCCCAATTCGCTTCGCAGTCCGTCGAGCTCCATCGCCGCGTGTTTCTTCGAGCGCCATGGTGCACAGCAGCAAGTACGACCTGCTCATCAAGCTCCTGCTGATCGGAGACAGCGGTACGTGGCGCGGGGCTCTCCATCTCTTCCTTCCGCTGCTCGCAGACCCCTCTAAGCGTTTAGCCGCCCTCCTTTATGCGTCTCCCTGACTTAGGTGTGGGGAAGAGTTGCGTGCTGCTGCGGTACTCGGACGACTCGTTCACGACGTCCTTCATCACCACGATCGGGTGCGTCACCTGCTGCACCCTCTTGCTGATCTGTGCATGCATGGGGGGTAACGCTAGATGCTTGTTTCCCTCTCTACCTCTCTCTTGGTGCCGCAGCATCGACTTTAAGGTCAAGACGATCGACGTGGACGGCAAGCGAATAAAGCTGCAGATCTGGGACACGGCCGGCCAGGAGCGCTTCCGGACGATTACGACCGGTGCGTTCTGCTGCCTTCGAGGCTGTTGTGGTTGTGTTGCTTTGCCGGTAAAATGGAGGCTAACGGAGATGGCGACGTGTGGTGCTAGCTTACTACCGTGGCGCGATGGGCATTCTGCTCGTGTATGACGTGACCGACGACCACTCCTTCCAGAGTACGCTCGCTGCCGGAGAGTTTGCTGCTTTATGTATCGGGGCTGCAGGTCTAACGTTTGTTCTCGCTGCTTGCTGCCAATGCAGACATTCGCAACTGGATGACACAAATCCGACAGAACGCGTCGTCAAATGTGAACAAGATCCTGATCGGCAACAAGTGCGACGTGGATCCGTCGGAAAGAGTGCGTTGGATACGTCAGTAACAGCGTTATGACTGGGAGGGCGATCGATCGACTCACTGGGGGATTGTGCTGTGTTGCTACTGTAGGCGGTGACAACGAAGCAGGGCCAGGATCTAGCGGACGAGTTCGGCATCAAGTTCTTCGAAACGAGCGCAAAGAGCAACAAGAACATCGATGAGGCCTTCCGCTCCATCGCAGTGGACATCCAGAAGCGCCTGGCCGAGAGCGAGCACGATAGATTAGACGTGGCGAACGGCAGCAAATTCCGCGTGGACGAGGCCCAGGAGCAGTCCAAAGACAGCTGCTGCGCCTAAGGACGGCGCCACTACTTAGGTTCTTTCGTTCTCGTTTAGTGCCGCGTGGTTGGCGCGCGCTGCAGTGGTCGACGCCAGTCAGCATCGATGCAGGACGAGCAGCCAGCGGATGCGATAGTAAAACTTATCAATACTCACCTCACCTCACCTACGCACTTGGCCCTTTTTGCCTCTCTAAAGTGTAGCCATCTGGCACTGGGCCAGTCATTTTTTTCCATTGGTTGGCATTTGCCAATTGGGAAGCAGGCGGAGATGGCGGAGCGCGAGGACATGGTGGACGTGGACGGCGAGACGTGGGACGACTGGGTGGACGACGGCTCGTCCGCCAGTTTCGACTGCGTGTTCTGCGCCAGCAAGTTCCCGGCCGAGGAGCCGCTGCACGCGCATCTGCAGGAGGCGCACGACTTCTCGCTCAAGCGCGAGATCTCGGCGCGCAAGCTCGACACGTACGGCACCATCCAGCTCGTCAACTTCCTGCGCTGGAGCACGCTGGACGGCGTCGCGGCCGAGCAGGTGAAGCAGACGCTGGCCACGGAGGGCAACGCCGCCTTCCAGAAGGACGAGTTCCTCAAGCCCGTGGTGGCGGACGACCCGCTGCTCTACTGTCTCGACTGCGACGACAGCGACAGCAGCGATGATGAAGACGCGGCTGATGAGGAGGAGCAGAAGAGCGAGAAGGCGGTGGTGGCCCCCACTGCTGCTGCTGCTGGTGACGACGCCGCTGCGTTGATCGCCAAGCTGCAGCTCGAGAACCAGGAGCTCAAGCAGCAGATGACCAAGTACTCCAAGCTCGTCCGCGACTTCGTGGTCGACGGCGAGAGCTCGGCCCCCGTGGAGGACGCCGCGGACAACGACACGTACTACTTTGACTCGTACTCGCACGTGGGCATCCACCGCGAGATGATCACGGACCGGATCCGCACGGACGGCTACCGCAACGCCATCCTCAACAACCCGGAGCTGTTCAAGGGCAAGGTCGTGCTCGACGTTGGCTGCGGCACGGGCATTCTGAGCATGTTCGCGGCGCAGGCTGGTGCTGCCAAGGTGATCGGCATCGACCGCAGCGAGATGGGCGACGTGGCCCGCGAGATCGTTGCCGCCAACGGATTCAGCGACGTCATCACCATCCTCCGCGGCAAGGTGGAGGACATGGATCTGCTTGTGGACAAGGTGGATATCATCGTCTCCGAGTGGATGGGCTACTGCCTTCTGTACGAGTCCATGCTGGACACGGTGCTGTTCGCGCGCGACAAGTGGCTCGCCCCCGGCGGCCACCTCTTCCCGGACAAGTGCTCCATGTTCATTCAAGGAATGGAGGACTCGACCAAGCGCTTCGACTTCTGGGACGACGTCTACGGCTTCAACATGAAGCCCATCCAGTCCAAGATCTCGATCCGTGACGCGTTTGTGGAGGACGTTCGGCCGAGCGACATCATTACGAGCCGCGAGCTGCTGCAGAACATCGACATCGACCACGTCACGTACGACGAGCTCGACTTCCACTCGACCTTCACGCTGTCCGTCACCAAGGACGCCACTTTCCACGGGTTCGTGTCCAGCTTCGACATCGGCTTCGAGCGCGATTGCCCGCGCCCCGAGTACTTCACAACGGGAGCTGAGGGCACGCCCACGCACTGGCACCAGGTCTTTTTCCATGTCCCGAAGCCCTTCGCGGTCAAGAAGGGAGATGCTGTGGAGGGCAAGTGGTGGGTGCGACGGAATGCCGAGAACCCGCGCTTCCTTGACGTCGAGATCCAGTGGAAGCAGGCGGCTGAGGGCGAGTTCCTCGTCCAGCGTTACCGCATTCACTAAGAGCTTTTAGAGGTAGAGCGCCACAATGTACTTGCTTTGAATTTCTTTCAGTTTAAGACACTATTTCTTGTGCCGCAGCTCATCGGTTGTTGGTGGAAGAAACCTTGAAAACTCTATGAATGCAGCTTTACCTGGCTGATGACATCCTTCACCAGCACGGACATTGCTGATACCTTCTCGAACTCCTCGCCGGTGGGAGCAATCAACGCCAAGCACTTGAGCAGCAGGTAGTGAGTAGAAGTAAGCGATGGCGTGAGGTCGAGTTTCTCGACTAGGGGGTCCGCCACGAGAGGTGGCTGAGAGTCACTGATCACCCACGCGAAGACGTCTGCAGGCAGCATACTCATCACCACGGCGTACTCTGCCTCCGTCTTCATTCGCCGCAGAATAAGGGAAAGCCGAGCTCGAGCGATCGCTCCAAGCTTCAGTACCAAGCGTTCCGGTTTCTGCATCTTCTCAATCGCCAAGTCTGCGCGCTCGTCCCGGCCGGACTGGTACAAGAAGAGCACGTACTCTTCACGAATCACCTCCAACGGCAGTCCAAAGGCCTCTGCAAGCGCAAACCCCAGCGCTTCGTCATGCCGGAGAAGCTCCTTCAGGAACCTGGTACGATTCCGGTTGATAGAGTTCACCTCTTCTTTGCTAGGCTCAGTCGGTGCTTGGGTCATCAGAAAGCTGTCCGAGCGGCACAAATATCGACCACTATTCGAGAACAGCTTCACAATTGAGATCGGTGTCACTGCCGTCGCGGCGAAGGAATCGAGCAGCATAATCAAACTGATGTGATCTGCGATCTGCGTCACTGAGACCATGTCAAACTTGAAGTTCCCCAGCGACTGCATCAGTGCAGATGTATCATGTGAAGGTGGCCATCGCTGCCGGAATATCAAATGGAGATCCTTCACACGGCAACGCCACTTGACTGATTGAGTCAAGCTTTCCATCTTGAATGCAGTGGTACGCGACACAGTATCAACATCGTCTTCGTCAGAGTCGGCATCCGCATCGCTTGTTTCATCGTCGTATTCGCTGTCAGCTCCGTCCTCGCCGTACGCAGTTGCTATGGCTCGCGATGCGGACATTGCTTTGACTGCTGACAACAAAGTGACAAGCAGATTCCGGATTATACCAAAAAACCGGCGAGCCACTTGAGGCTGGAGACCGCGTTGCGGCTTCTTGCCAGCAGCGCTTTCCTCCCAAAACGTAATCAGCGTGACCACGTGCACACGAATATATCTTTCCCAGATATGCGCCGCCATTGCCACTTTTATTCGAAGAGACTCCACACAATCGAGCTCCAGCAGCGCATCCTCCAGCTGACGCATGTCCGAACGCTCTGCATTCCACGCGGTGCACAGGACTCCGACCCGGAAGCAGCACAGAGAATCCTTGTTCGAGAATTGGGGATAAGCACGCAATACTGCTGGGCAATCCTTCATCTGGACAGCCTTCCGACAGTTTTCCATTGTCGCGACCCAGCCGTCTGTACCATCTTCACTCATGCTTGCTTCAACACGGTCCGTCGGTAGTTGTACTGCAGCGTCATCTTCACCAGCCTCGTGGCCATCGTTTATTTGCATTACCGCAATACTTCGAATGATGTCATCAACGTGCTCAACAGCGTCAACAGACAGACGGCCGACTTTCCCAAGACGCAATGACAAATGCACGGTTTTAGCGATGGAGTCCTGCAAAATGACCCAGCGCGTTCCGCTACCAGCGCTGCTGTACTTCCCGAAGGTATCTTCTTCAGCATGTTTAGCTGACTGCTTCTCTCCCCACCCGCAATGCTCACTCAATACGAAGGCATGGAAAAGCTTCGGCGTCTTCCAGCATGAGTTGAAGACTTCCACCAGCGAGCGGGGACAATCGCGCAAGCGGCGAAGTTGGCTCTCTGTCGAAACAAAAGGCGTCCCTGCGTTGTCTTCTACCTCTTGCTCTATTGCTGTCTCCACATCTGCAATAACGAAATAAGGCTGCAGCCACCGCTGGAGCGACGAAGACAGCGAGGGCGAAGGCAGTGCGAGGATCGCACTGAGAGGGAGTGAGTAAAACCACTCAATAAATACTCTTGTCAGAATATCTTCCGACAAGAAGATAGCCGAATTCAATTGTTGCAGCTCCTACAAAACAAAATCGAGGTGTTAAACAAATACAAATGAACTTCACATGCACTTCACCGTACCTGAACAGCGAAGACACTCGATAGCACTGGCGCGAGGATAAACGTAAAGAGGCAATCTCTCTGAGCAGCAGTCGAGAATTTACGAAAAATGGGAGTTTTCAACACGCGGAAAGCCTCACGCAAAAACTCCTCCTTCGTTTCCGCAACCTCAAACAGAGATAAAATATCGCGGCGACGAGGCAAGTCAGGATCACTAAACGGCATGGAGAAGAACTCCATGAACTCCCACGCCGTGAGTTGACTGGCGCTTTCAATCGCTCGTTGTGTTCGAGATCGTGATTCATCGTCCAGCGCAATACCAGCCCGACGAAACAGCTCCAGCCACGGAAGGACGCGCGGCAATGGACCAGTTTGCTGCTTGTTGCCACTGAACCGAGAGATGGTATCTTTAACGGAAGTCTGCACCATGGTTATCAGAGCGCGCTTACCTCGCTCAAACTCCTGTAGGTAGTGAACAAAGATTAGCATGAAGCACGCAGCCTGCACATTAATCACCATACGTACGGTCTGAAATCCGATAAAAGTTGATACGAGGCGGTGCTGCCAGAGCAACTTCCACTGCAGCGATAACTCTGCTCCAGTCGGCGTTCTCGATGACATTCCGTTCTTTAATGCCTGGGGGAACACACGAGTTAGAAACCGTAAGACGGGCTGAATTTCTTTTAGGTAGCCACGAGAAGGTTCTTACCAGCTGCAACTTTTCCAAAGCCTTGAGCAAAAAGCTCGCGTTCAATACTGCCATGTCTGCATTAAGTAAAACGTCGAGTAGCGCCTGGATCGTAGTGGATGAAGAAAGGCTGCCGATATCTTCTAGCAACGGGCCCAGTATGTCTTGCTCGAGCGTATGAGTCGCGTCGACACGTTTCTTCTTCACAAATGCCTGAAGGCCACCTATCACCTGGTGCAGAAGGAAGTTCTCTTCTTGGAGTTTGTTCTGTGTGAAATACTTGAGCAAAATCGACGCATTGGGCAGCCCGGGCTTCAGCTCAATCAGCTCCGAGAGAGTCTCACTCGTCTTCGACAGAACAACGCACTTTGTCCTGCGCATCGCGGGGTCGAACTGTGTGAAAAGCTTCGCGCTGTTGCCAACTGCAAAGCTGAAAACCCGGGGACCATACCGGGCACGCCACACTTCGACGATGCCACGTTGGGCTGAATAAATGACGAGGTAAAGCCCAGGAGGACGGCGAGCGCCTTCCGAGCCCTGCATCCAGCCACACTGCGCGTTCCGATAGCCCTTCCACATCCGAATCACAATCATCCGAGAGGTATCAACCAGCAGAATCCGGCCAAGCGTGTCCGAGACAGCCGCGAGTCTGCCCGTCGGGCTCAACACGAGAACTCTGCATCGCCGTCGGTCGTCCTCGTAAATAGATCGAGTAGTGCCGACAGGGGCAGGCACATGCTCAGCCGCAGCGTCGATTGCCCCAGCACCTAGCTGCGTATAACCGGCATGTCCATCTGCTTGCTCCTCCGACTCACCAGCACCTCGTCCCCACCCCCAGCTAGTCGCAAAGTTCCACACAGCTCCAGCAGCCCTCGAAGCAATGGCAGTCGCGATATGCGCCAAGTGGATGATCGAGTTCTGGTCGTTCCCCGCCTGGTAGAACGCGAGGAACGGCGCCTGCCCCGCGCTCACGATCGTGTACACCCCGAGACGCGCGTGCGACTGGAAGATCGTCGGCCTCACGGGTCCGCACGGAACCGCCGCCACTATTTCCTTCTGGTCTCGCAGCGAGTACTTCCTGAACTTGCTGGCCTGCCCAGGACCTGCGTCAATTAATACATCCATCCGTGCACAATATCAGTCAGCAGACGCACTCCACCAGCCTCTCCCATCCATTGCGACGCACGCACCGAACACGGCCGAGTTGAGCTTGCTCAGGATCTCCGAGATCTGGATGATGGCGACCGTCGAGTCCGCGTAGAGCACCCAGAACTCGCCCTCCGTGTCGGGCTCGCTGGCCAGCAAGACGCTCGCGCGGCGCGGCGCCACCATGGTCGCGGCGTTGCGGTTGACGTCCAGCTTGAGCACGGCCGCGCCGTGCAGCTTCTGCTCGAAGAGGAGCTTCCCCACGCGGCTGAAGAGGCGCACGACGCCCGACGTGTAGCCCACGGCGAAGAGCTCTCGGTCCAGCCACTTGACGTCCGCCACGCGCTCGTCCTCGTCCAGGCGGACGTCCTGGGCGCCCACCACCACACACAGGGGGACGCCTTGCTGACCATCACTCCCGCTCTGCTCCACGTCCTCCTGCACGCCCGCAGTGTACACGCGCCGCTCGAAGCCCAGCAGCAGCGTCAGGTCCTCGGCCACGTCCACGCGCACGCGCGGGTCGTCGAACAGCGACACTGGCGCCTCCTCCCCCTCAGCATCAGCATCTTCAGCATCGACGGCGCTGGAGCAGCGCAGCGCGGAGCTGTCCACGCGCAGCGCCAGGGCCAGCGCGTCCTCGTCGGCCACGGATGTCGCCATCCCTTCTCGGCTTCCTTCCTTTGAGTGAAGTTTCTCTTCTCGAGGGTACCAAAAGAGCGGTACAACTGGATTTGAACAGCAAAAAGTGGCTTCACCTGCTTCAACTTCACTTGCCCTGGCAGAGTCGAACCTAAAGTCGAAGATGCGGATGACTGCCAAGATCGCGGAATGGCATAGAATCTGGTAGCATCACCCACCCGGACGGACGTGTGCGGCGTAGCAGCAGTCAGTCACCTCTCCACTTGACTTCGGAGGAGACTCGTCCGTCCCCCCATTCTCGCAGTCGTCGAACACTAGTCGAAACCATGACGTCGCCTCGGATTGAGGCTCTGACGCTGCTTGGTGTGGCGCTGCTCTGGCAGTTGGCGCACGCGGCTAACGTCGGTGACAGCAGCACACTGGGCAAGTACGAGCGACTGCAACGTCTCGGCGTCTTCCGGAGACTGGGCTCAATTGACGAGGGCGGTAGCAGCATCGCTGGTGACGACGACGGTGCGAGCGTGACGCCAGTCCAGCAGCAGCAGCAGAAGCAGGAACACATGACCATACAGCCAGAGACCACCGAGAGCTCGGACAGCGGCTTCCCCAGTACCTCCGTCATCGTGGTCGCAGTGGGGCTTGTGGTCCTCACGGGCCTCGTCTTCCTCCTCGTGGTGCTGCGTCGCGGCAGGAGCTGTCTCGACCAGACCGACAGCGAGCCGCCTACGTCACGCGCGCCCCCCGACAACTCGCGCTTCTGTATGAAGCGCACGACGTTCGCCGTCCCCGATACGAACCGCGCTGGTCTCGGAGACATCGACTCAAGCGGCTCCGTGGTTCCCGTGCTGGGGGACGACCCCAGCCACCGGAAAATGCGCGAGAACTCTCGACTGGAGTCGGGCAACTCCTGGGCTGAGGCCACGTCCTACAGCGTCGCTCCTCTCAGTAGCCGCCACACAAGACCGGCGCCGCCGATGCTAATCTACGCTCCAGTCCGTCGACACGGTCTCAACGACAGCCAGGCGGCGAGTGACTACAGCTCACACACGGACGACTACTCCATCGGCATGCTCGAGTCGCCTGTGTCTACGGAATACAGCTTCGGCTCGGAGGGCGACGACAGATTCCCGTCCACTCCCTGGGATGAAGTTGACTCGTACCGAAGTCTGGACTGCACATTCCTGTCCACGACGTCCTCGAACGTCTTTGGCTCGAACCGTGATCGGAGTGGCGGCGCCTGGAAGAAGGTCTACGGCCCCACCGATGATTCCCCGACGACGGACTCGGACATGCCACGCTTGTCTTCCGGGTTTCTCTTCGTGCGGCAGATGGACTCGCACAACATGAGACGTATGCGTCTTGACACGTGTGCCCATGGAGCTCGAAACAATAACCTCATGCGATTCGATGTCGAGGTATGAGAAGATTTGGTGAAATAATTCACCAAAAGCTTGTCATTTGCTGAAGAGGGGACTCGAAGGCCAGGTCTCTCTACAATACTTTTATTTATCGATTCGCTCACTGCTGAAAGGAATACAGCTTCGCTGACAGCGCTTTGCACTACCTACGCCCACCGGGACTCGCCTGTATACGAATTGTAGTAGTACGTCTGACCTGAAGCCTCGTCAACCAGTGTCATCCAGCCTCCATAGTCGCCTGATGAAGCTGCTGGAACAGCATACGCTTGGTTGTACGACTGGGCGTACGCTTGAGCCTCTCGAGCTTCTCGAGCTGCTTCAGCCACCGCGTATTCTGTGACGTACTGATACTCGCTCGACTGCACAAACTCGTCGTAAGTTTGAGCACTCTCCTCTTCCTTGGCCATTTGCTTCTTCTTCTGTGCCTTCTTGAACGTTGCCATGTCTGTCCACTGGTGGGTTGCCTTGTTCCCCTTCGAGTGGATTATCGTAAAGCAGCCCAAGCAGTAGGGGTCTTCACAGACAGAGCACCAACGAGTTGCACGCATTTTCTCGCACTCGATGCAGCGGAGTGATCCGATAGCCTTCCACGTGTGCTTTTCGCGCTTCGCCGAATGGTGAAGCTTCTCGTAGCAAGCGTCACAAAAGACGTCCTCGCACTGAGCGCACTGTCGTCTAGCGTCTTCTTCTTCGCACTCCACGCACAGTTTGTCTTCGTCCTCATCGTCTTCATTTTGTTCTTCCTCGTGGTCTTTAGCATTTGAATCGGAGTTATCTCCCCCGTTGAGCGTTGGTGGCGCCTTTTGAGCTGCCAAGATGGCGGCGATGTCATCTTCAGATGGATCGATAACCTTGCCATCTTGAAGCACAAGCTTGCCGTCTGCTTTGTTGTATCCCGTCGCTGGAGGGGCCCACAGCGCTTCACCAGTCTACCAGCCATCCACGTCAAAATATAAGCAGCATCCCCCAAATGAAGATCCATGACAACGACCCATGTACCTCTTGGTTGTAGTAAAACCACTTGGCCGAGTCTTCGCTCCAGTATTCCACCCACGTCCGCGCCTGGAGTACGAATCTAGCTGCTCGCTCCTGCCGAAGCTGCTCGACCCGGCGAATCGCTTGTCGTTTGCGGACCATTTTCTGAATCTTGGTTGCAGCCTGAGCGCGCATGCGATTTCTCTCACGCAGCGCCATCAGCTTCAACTCTGTCGACAAGCGAGCACTAATGCCAAGAAACACGGTGGAAGGTAGCGAGTTAGTGGACTCTCCTAATACAACAGCAATTGAGTAGTACTGACGTACCGGTGCCCTCGATACACTCGCTGGATGTTGATAGCTGCAGCGCGACGAATCGCTTGCCGCTTTCGCTCCTCCTCGCGCAAACTGGCGAGTTTCTTCCGTGCGCGTCTACCACGAGCCATGGTTTGAATTTTCGTTGCGGCAATGTTGCGCGCTCGATCCAGACGCCGCTGGATGAATGATGCTCGCCCAAGACGCCCACGGTACCGACGCTGGATCAACACCGCTGCCTTAGTCAGACGTTGATTCCTCCGCCGAATTGCGACTTCACGCCGAGTCTTCCGACCACGGTACAGCGCCTGCACGCGACTAGCGACGAGATGCATCTTCCGCTCGTCCCGTAGTTGCTTGATTCGCTTCCGTACGATGTAACCTCGTGCCAATGCTTGGATTCGAGTGGCCATGGCTTGACGACGTTGGTCGAGTCGCTTGAGCCTGAAGAATTTGCGTGCAAGACCCCCTCGGAACATACGCTGCATCTTGATAGCTGCAGTCGTTTGCTTGGCGATTAGCTTCTGCATCTTCACGAGGTAAGCAAACATCCGCCCACGGTAGGCGCGCCACGAGCGCTGAATGACCTGAATCGCATTCAGCTCCAGAGCTGAGCGCTCCAAGGCCTTCTCGTGCACAATAGCCGACCACCACTTTGTCCAGGCTTGCCGCAGCTTGCGTTGCGACCAATTAACCAAGAACAGGTCCAGCTTCTTGCTCCCCTTGTAGAGTAGGTAGGCCTGCAGCTTTTCCTGCTGCTTCTCGTACGTGACTGCGTGCTTCCATCGCTCCATGGCCACGCCTTGGAGATTGTATAGCAGTCGACGAAATATGTTCTCCACCTTTTCTTGCCCCCACCGTTTGAAGTAGAGCGTCGTACGCAGCTCGGAAGCGGGACAGATCTTCTGAGCCCAGCAAATGTCGTCCTTCACCAGCCGCGTGAGATTCTGCACGCTATAAAGCGCCGACTCCAATTCCTTACGAAGTGCCCCACCATCCTCTGCAGCGCGAATGCCCTTCTTTGAGGGACCAACGTTCTTCCGTTTGTTCGGGTGTGTTTGCTGCTGACGCTTCTTACTCTTCTTGCCTTGTGCTAGGCCTGGAAGCTTTTGACCGTCAAGAGGAGCTTGCTTTGGTTGGTAGAACGTTGGAGGTGTAGAGTTGACACTCTTGCCATTGAGCTCCGCTTCGAGAGCTTCGATCTCCTCCACTGACAACCCGAGCGTCTCGCTTGCTTGCTTCCGATCGACGTCCTCTTTAATTGCTTGCACCTCTTTTGCTGCCATGGTGCTGGCTGTACTTATCACATTCACGGACGGCAGTCGAAAAACAGGTAGAACGTATTGCTGTAGCTGCTGGCGTTGGCCAGGTAGAATTTGAGCGTCCAGCCCAACTTCGAAAGGGGTTTCTCCTGTTGTTGTCAGCACTGGGAGCATATCTAGCCCTGCTCGAACATTCGGGTGCGGCGTTGAAGGAGCATTGCCCCCGCCAGGTGTTGCGTGGGCCTTCTTGTGTCTCAAGAACGACTTGGAGCGCTGGTTCGGAGACAGCTTCAAGGTCTTGGAGTGCATCGCACGCTGCAAATCATTCGGTACTGGGGGTCTACCGCCACCCATCGCTAGCTGGAAGCGCTTCTCCAGCTCTTCCACATTGGGGACCGCTGCTTCGTGGACATTGTTGAGCGTGCTTGCGAGCGTCTCTGGGTGCTGACGTTGGAGGTTGGCCACTTTGAGCCGCCACTCGGCCTGCAGCTTGGAGCGCGTGCGCTCGAGTTCCTCCAGAAGCCGCAGCTCATGGTTCGTCAGGCGGTGCAAGGCGTCTGTGTGCGGGGTCAAGATTCCTCCTGCCTCGCCGCTTTCGTCACCGGCTTGATCAGATGGCAACGAGTTTGAAGCATTAGCCACCGCAGCCGGCTTGGCCTTCTTGCCTCCGGAGAGATTCCCACCAAACAGCAGCATGCCAGTCGTGAGAAGTGCTCACAGTTGGCGCTAGTTCCAACTCTCCAGTCGACTCGCTTCGTATATATAGGTGGCGGTATGTGTAGTGTCGCTCAAAGCCCGTGAGCTCATGGATGAACCAACCAAGAAAACGCCTCAAAAACTTGCTAAATTGACCACGTGAAAACCCACTAAGCTTCATGAAGATTTTCCTGCGCTCCTATCAATACTACGCCCGATCCACGAGGAGCTGTCCCCGCATGCCCGCAGCCAGCACCTGCACCTGCGCGCGTGCCTTTATAAACTAGTTGACACTCTCTGCACACTCGTCCGTCGTCGTGACCGGTCTCTTCTTCCACGCTGATGATCTCAGAACTTGAAGTGCACGAGCATGAGCGTCGCCGCCATGCTGAGGAACACATGCGAGAGCGCGTTGTGGTTGAACTTGTCCTTGCTGGGAGCCCATACGAGGCCCTGGATAAGGCCGCCCACGAGCTTGACGCCGTACACGAGCAGCTCGTTGCTCGAGTGGCTCCACTCCCAGTTCCACGTCATGAAGCAGGCGATGGGGCCGAAGACCATCACCGGGATGAAGCCCGCGAAGAGGAACACCGTGTGCATGCTGACGCTGGCCCAGACGGCCAGCACCACGTAGACGACGGCGGCCAGCACGATGATGGAGTAGGCCCAGGCCTCGGGCAGGTGGCGGCTGGCGGCCAGCGACAGCAGCGCGAAGTTGGTGAGGATGGAGCAGGCCAGCACCACGCGCCAGAGCGCGTCGATCATGTTGTCCACGGTGGAGCGGCTGAGGCTGAAGCCGAAGATGCGCGCCGTCTTGACCAGGTGCTTCTCCTGCTTGTGCGCGATGTCGCGCATGGCCTCGAAGGCCACGTGGTGCAGCAGGCCGCCGAGCGCCGCCGAGATGCCCAGCGCCATGAAGTACATGAGGTACCAGGCCAGGTCGCCCTTGTCCGTGGCGGCGAAGAGCCCGATGTACACGGCGAAGGCGAAGCACTGCACGGCCAGCAGGTAGTCGGTGATGAAGCAGGCCGGCTGCGCGTCCCACTCCTCGCCCGTGGTGGAGCGGTAGGCCCAGAGCGACCAGTTCTCGAGCTCCGCCACGGCCTGGCGACACGCCTGCGCCACGGTGGCGGCGGTGGCGGACGCCGTGCGCTTGCGCTGCGTCAATGCCTCCTGCTGCTGCATCTGCGTCTGGGTCTGCACTTCCGCGCTCATGTGGGTGGTCAGTTTCGACGGCTGCGTGCGACTTATGTGTGCTGGAGGTGGCGGATTTGATACTGAAAATAGGCCAGGAAACGGGAGGCCCCAGACTAAAGGGCCTTAGACCAATCACAGCGCGGCTAATAGAGACACTGCGACACTAGCGTAGGTTCAAATCGCGTTCGAGGACGAATTGAGCTTCCGAGCGTATTCCGTTCGGGATCGCTCCGAAGCACAGTGCGCTTCCTTCTCAATGAAGACGCCGCGTGTGGTGTCTATGAGAGTGTATGGCAACGCGCCGGCCGCATTGCCGCGAGGCTGCGAGTTTCGGTGGTCCTCCGCACTTGAGCTCGCGTCTGTTTTTTGCCAGCTAAAATAGCAAGTTGAAGCCGATAAATGAATCTAAAGATGCCGGACGATACAGTTGCTGCTGCCAATTGATGGACACCAGCCAACGCTCGACGGATGGATGCTTTTATTGCTCCTTACGGGCGGATCTGCTGGTAGCTGTAGAACTTGCGGCGGCGCTGCAGTCGCGCGAGCTGCACGCTGCACGCAAAAGCCACGACCGACAGGACAACGGCCACGACGAACACGGGGCCGAAACATTCCGTACCGAAGCACTTCTCGACGCCGTCGACGGTGCGCGTGGACGTCGAGTGCTGATACACGTACGACGCCAATGGACTGAAGAAGAGAGGGTACCCTACGCAGTTGGCGAGACTCAAAAGCCCGAAGTTCTTGCCAAAGTGCTGCAGACCGAACTCCTCGCGGATGATCACTGGGAACGTGCCGAACATGACCCCCTCCGAGAAGCCTGCCATGGCCACGGGCAGCAGCAACCAGCTCGGTGGCACCGAAAGGAATACAACCTGCGTGATGGCAGTGAACAGCGCGGAAGCGCCGGCGAAGTACGCGCGCGGGTATCGTGTCAATAAGAGATCGGAGACGGCGCCGGTCGCGAGGCGACCCAATGTGTTCACGATGGAGAATAGCGCCACCATGAACGGAACCTGCTCCACTGGCCCACCCAGCGACTCCACGATAAAAGATACGTTTGACATGACCAGCAAGCCTGCGCCGATGACAATCATCACCGGGATGAAGAGCATCCAGAACCGCACATCCGTCAGCAGAGCCACGCCCGTGATGTCGACGGGTTTTTCGCTGGCGGCGCCGTTCACCTGCCCATCCGACGACGTGCTTGTGCTGCCGAGACCGAACTCAACGCTTCCGGATCTCCTTTTCTTGATGGTGCTTTCTTCACACGCAAGCGGGCGAGCAAAGACACACCAGCCGAAGACGCAGGCAGCTAGGAGGTAGTTCCCCACGAAGAGGAAGTAGCCGGGTACGTCGCTGCTGTGGAAACCCTCGTGGAACACAAACGCGAAGAAGGCGCCTCCACAGCTGTACGCCGACGTGAGCGCTGCCATGACCTTGCCGCGGTTTTCGTCCCCAAAAAGCGACTCATTAGGCACGATGGACGAGAAGACGCAGAACGAGCTGAGCAGTCCAAACAGCAGCATGGCGCTCCCCATTCCCAGCGGACTCAGGCTCTCCGGAGCGAACTGTAGCGCCGTGAACATGGCCAGGTGAATTACCAGCATTGCGCTCCCACTCAGCAGCACGCTCGTGTACGGACCAAGCCGGTCGAAGATCACGCCTGGGAAGTAGCTCATGTACGTTCCTAGCATGGTCATCGAGGAGATCGTGGAGATGCCTCCTTGCGTGAAGTGCAGCAGCGTCTTGAGCTGCGCATTCCACGCCGATAGCGCGTACGTCGACCCCACGCCGAGCATGAGCAGCACCCCGGCGAGCAGGCTGCAGGACCGGCGAAGCAGCGTTGGCGACGCCACCGTCGAGCGCATGATTGCCACTGAACCGGAGATTTTGGTAGGATTGGCTACACCTCTGCCACGCAAAGATGGTACATGGCTACATTGTCAAGTGGCTTGAAAGTATCTTCGAGCTGCATTTACGTTAAGCGGACGTAGCTCTGGCGTGCCGCGAAGCGGAGACTCGCGGCCAGCGACACCACGCTCAGCGCCACTACCAACAGGAACACGGGTCGGAAGCACTCTTCACCGATGCACTTCTGGACGCCATCCACGCGCTCTGCCGACATACTGTACACGAAGGAGCCTACGGGACTGTAGAACAACGGGAAGCCGAGCGCGTTGGCGACGCTGATGAGACCAAAATTCTTCCCGAAGTGGCGCGCACCGAAGGTCTCTCGCGTTAAGACCGGGAAGGCAGCGAACATGACGCCGTCAGCGATGCCTGACAGCGTGATGGGGACAGCTAGGTACGCGCGCGGAATGACCAGGAACAGCGTGTGGATCGCGCCAACGAGGACGGACGCCATACTGACTAAGTAGATACGCGGGCAGTGATCCAGCACGCTGTCGGACACGATACCGGCCACGACGCGGCCGCAGCAGTTGCCGACGGAAAACAACGCCACCATCGTAGGGATTTGCCCCATCGGGCCGCCCAGCGACTCCACAATAAAGGCAATGTTGGCCATGATAAACAGCGACGACCCCACCAAAATGAAGACAGTGGCGAAAAGCAGCCAGAAGCGCGAGTCAGCCAGGATCTCGCGACCGGTAATATCGGGCTGCACAGTGGGAACCAGCTTGCAGTTCTCATCCAGGTCCGCACTCGTCCTCGCCGTCCTCTCCGGTGGCATAAATTCTTCGAGGGCATGAATGGGTGGAGCGACCGCAACCGCGTGTGCCGGATCCTCTCTACCAGGCCGATACAACGTCACCCATGCCAGCAGAAACACGGCAAGCATTAAACACCCCATGAACCGGAAGTACAGCGGCACTTGCCCGTCGAAGTTGTGCTCGTAAAGCTCGGCGAACAGTGCTGCACCGGCGCTGAAGGCCGCGAACTCCAGTGCCATGATCTTACCGCGATGTTCAGGCCCGAAGAGATCTTCGTTGGGCCCCAGCGCCGCGAACACGCCGAAGTTGGTTGCCTGACCGAGCACAGCAAAGGCGACACCCACGCCCAGCGGCGTCAAGGCCTCGGGGAATGCCTCTAGACCGGTGTACAGCCCCGTGTAGATGCCTGCAAGCAAGAGTCCGCCGAGCAAGACGCTGCGGTGGGCGCCGATGCGGTCGAAGACGTAGCCAGGACTCACGGAGAAGTAGGCGCCGAAGGACGCCATCGAGCACACGAGCGAGATGCCCGCCTCGGAGAAGCCCAGCAGCGCGCGGAGCTGCGCGTTCCAGACGGAGATCGAGTGGTTCGAGCCCACGCTCCCCATGAGCAGGAGCCCGGCCAGCACGCTGGCGAGGCGCCGGCATCGGTCCCAGTCGCACCACATCAGCGCCATTACGGGAGACTTTGGTACAGTGAGCCTCTCGTGTGTCAGGCGATCGATGATTGGCTCGGCTGGCGCTATTCTCCGATTAGTCAAAAATGACCGTTGAAGCGGGCCGCAGACTCTGCGGCTCTGCGGCAGAGCTCCTTGGTCACACCTCAAAAGTGGCATTGCTGGTCTTCGTTGTGAATCACAATGTGAACCGACGAATGTCAGCTTGCGCATACAGTACAAAGGTGGCTTCTCCACACATTTTGGCTCGTTGGTGGACACGTCGCGTTTGTTAACCTTTCCTAAGCTTACTTGAGTTGACTGTTGAGCTGCCAGCAAAGCTCTTCCGAAGAGCTTCACCTTTGGAGCCCGCATCCGCGAATACACATGACTCATGATAAAGAAGGGCTGAATGCCGCCGAACTAAAGTTCCGTTTGATATTGGTATTGCCGTACTGGCCCACCTCGAACTGGAGATCTCAAGTCCTAAATCAGCCATTGAAAGTGTGCAACTGAGCTCGGAAGCACGCGGATCGCGCTAGCTGCAGCACTCTAGACTGGAGATATTACACGTCAAGGAACATTTATGGATGGCTAGCTCTTCAACGCCGGACTTACTTAGCTAACTAGCACGTAAGTAAGATGCCAGTGCAGTTGAAGTGGGCCGTACTCACGACCGTCTGTTTTCCTGACGCGCTCAGGAGTTACTCACGGACCTGCAACTTAATGACCTGCCAATATGCATACCCTGAAAGGCATAGAGATCTCTATAAAAGTTTTTAGACTGCATGCACCTTCTATAATTAAACCTGACAGGACAAGACAATAGAGACAGGGCGGACCATCCATCCAGAAACCGTCCACCGGAATACCCCGCTTAAGTACATCTCGGTGCACTACACTTTACGGCCCTCGCCCCATGAAGCTTCGCCTTCTTGGATGTTCTCACTAAGAACCATTTCGCACACCGTTCGCCGAGCTCCAGATCTCATTTATTGAGCTGGCGTCCGGCTTCTTCTCGCGCGGTCTGGGGCCACAAGTCCCCTCGCGATCACGATTTGCCCGCCATTCCATTACTTAATCGACACAAGTGGGACCAAGTCGGCTCTTAATTTAGACCAATGAGCGTCTGCCAATTAGCCCCAGCCCTGAGTACGGAGTGTGGCGTCGCGACCAGATGGGCAAGAAGCCAGCACAGCCAGCACCAATTGGCCGCCCAGCGCGCATTGCTCCACCTCTCGTCGGCCGCGCACTCCATCCTGCCCGCTACCTCGTCGCCATGAAGGTCCGGCGCGGCAGCTCCTCGCGGCTGCGGCAGGTCGCGGGCCTCCTGCTCGCGACGACCGCGCTGGCCTCGGCCAATACGGCGCCCTCGCTCTACGGTGGGTCTCGCTCTACCTCACCCTCTACCCGTCTAACTGATGCGCATCGCCTGTGTGGTCTAATAATGGGTCTGGCTGTTGTTGTGTTGGTGCTCGTGCAGACTACAAGTATGACGGCACCACGACCTACTGCTACTGGATGGACCAGGGCATGCAGGTGTCCAACTTCGACTTCGCCTACGTGCTCCAGGAGGGCACGGGCTCCGACTGCCCGCTCACCGTCTCGCTCGAGCAGGCCACGACCGGCATCATCCTGGCCGGCAGCGAGGTCGAGTACGCCTTCACGGCCACGCTTAACCTCAACGACAACGCCTTCAACCTCACGGAGCTGCAGACTACCGTGCCAGACCCGACCACGGGACTCCCCATGCAGATCGGCCACGCCAACATCCACACGTGCTCGCGCTCCACCGTGTGCGACATCTTCCGCACAGGCTCCAACCGCAAGATCGCGGACCAGGAGACGTCCAACTTCACGAGCGCGGGCACGGCCAGCTTCCGCCAGAAGATCACGTACAGCAGCGCAGGCGAGCGCAACGTGTTCGCGCACATTATTCTGCCGCCCAAGGACTATCTCGAGGAGAGCTACCACTTCATCACGTTCATCACGACCAATGTGGAGGCCAGCTCCACTAGCGCGGCGGACGAAGAGAGCTCGGGTCTCTCTACGGGTGCAACGGTCGGCCTCGTCGTTGGCGCAGTCGCGATCGTGGTAGCCGTGATCATCTCGGTGGTGTTCTACCGCCGCAAACGCCACCCCGGTGACGGCACCGACCACTTCCGCAACAGTGGCTTTGGCCTGCCTGCGTCGTACGCTGCGACCAAGTCCAAGTCGCACCTGGACTGGAATGCCGAGCCCGACGCGCGGGTAGCGTCAAACGGTTCTGGCTGGAAGGACAACTACTCGGCTGGAAATCGCTCCCAGGCCTCCCGTGGACCCGGACTCAACGCCAGCGCTCTTGCCTTTAATACCGACCGTCATAGCCGCCAGAACAAGACAGTCTCGTCGTCGGGATCGCTCCACTCCAGTCGTGGACCTGGTGACGCGGGTATGATGTACGCCAACTACGAGACGCCCATGCAGCGGTCTGGTAACAACTTCAACGCCGTGGACCCCTTCAACCGGTCGCAGTCGATGTACCCCGACGATTCCATGTACGACGATGGCGAGTCCCGGATCGTCGAAGAGGACCCCAACCTCGAGTATGGACGCACCCCTGACCTCGAGACTTTCGGTATCGGTGGTATTCAGGGCCCTTCCTTCGAGAGCGAGACGTCCATGGGAACGTCTTTCGAGTACAACACGGACGACTCTCATTTCGCCCAGCCGACCTTCAACCCGCTGCTCAGTGGTTACGGTCGCGAGTCGGACATGTCGAGCATGGGGGGAACCGACGAGTACAATATGTACGAGCAGCCTCGCACGCGTGGTAACACGCTCGACGCAATGCTTTCGACGGTGCCTGGCGACCAGGGAAGCGAAAGCGGCGGCGTTCGTGACGGCTCGGTATCCTCGATTGGCACGGTAGACTTCACGCAGGACGAGCCCTCTGTTCGATCCGCGAAGCCGATCACGTTTGAGCCTTTGGACGAGACCTTGACTCTGTCGGGCTACGGACGAGCCAAGGAGGGGAACCCCGACCTTGCCAAGTCTAACGAGCTCAACAAAACCAACTCCAGCGAGAACACGGAGTTTGTGCTCCACGACAGCAGCGTCGAGTTCCCTACCTCCAACGCCAACGCCGACTTCGTCAGCACGACTGGCTCGGCCGACATTGACGGAAAGACCGACGTCACCAGCTCCGATTTCGGTGCCACTGGCACCACGGACATCATCAGCAGTTCTGATTACGAGACGAGCAGCAAGGCCGACAGTCACAGCGACTACGACGCAGGCAGCTTCAGCAGCGGCTTGGAGGGCTCGAGTTTCAACTCGGACCTGACCGGCAGCAGCTACGGCACGGGTATGACTGGCTCGAGTTACGGCACCGACGAGACCGGCAAGAGCCTAAACGCTGACCTGGAAGACTCGGCATTAGATGCGACCAAGACGAAAGCTGGCCTCAACGATACGCAGTCAACCTACGAGTTTGACGACAAGTCCTTCCGTGCTTCCGACTCGTTCACCACATCCAATGACGATCCGACGGCTGGCGAGGGCCTTCGCCCGAGACGCGTGTCTTCAGCCGATGGCGAGAGCTACGAGTTCTAGACTTTTCCCGTCCTGGGCAACTAGGTAGACTTTGTACTATCGTTTGTTGATGCGTTCGGTTGCGTGGTGGAAGCCAGGAGGGAGTGGAAGGCACTTGCTGTCTGCCACTGGGATAATGTGGAACGGCAAGGGCGCGAAGGAACGCCTGCAGTGCTTGTGGCCTCGCAGTTTTGCTGGTTCGGTGGTGACATCATTCGAGTTGCAGAGAGTCACGTGGACATTCCGATGCGGAATATGGAGACGACGGCGTACTTCATTTTGTTCTTTCTTCGCGAGGGTTCTCGGGCTCGTCAAGCTTGGCACATTGGGCATGGACAATGACCTGTGGTGGAAGGCTTGGGTGCATGCGAGAGGACTCGAACACTACGCTAGTCGTATTTAAAACTTTTTTGAAACACGAAACACATGAACCTGGAACCATGTCCACTCCTACCGAGAACTATGTGGAGGATGCAAAGCGTTCATGAACCCTGCTGCGTCAACCCGGCACTCCACCCCCCACTATAAATACTGAGTTTCTTTTTGCGTCCTGTTGACGATCGCGTTTGCTGGGATAGTGGTGACAGCACTCACAACCGTCCAACACCTGAATTCAATTATCTCGGAGGGCGGACGACGCGATGAGGGCAAATGAAGTTGGCGCCAGCTTTGGGGTGAAGGAGTCGGAGGTTCAATACGGGGAAGCGCCAACCCTCGCGTCGAGACCAAGTGTCTCCGCTTCAGGCTCACGTGGAGCATTCAGTTGTCGGAGGTGGCGACTGCTGTCAGGAAAGCCAAAAGACGGCGATGCTGTCGGCACAAGAGCCGAACCAAACCTGGCTGAAGTCGCACTTCGAACGGTGCAGCGTCCATCGACAGCCGATGTCGATTCCAAGAACTGGGCCTCAGCAGCGACGCCGTTTGCAACAATACTACCACGAGACACGGTCGTTCCAACAATTTCACGCAAGTCCGTGGCTGCTGCAGTCTTGACGTCCGCTTGTCCACCGGAGAATACGAAGAAGTGGGAGCGTGAAATGACCATTTGCGAGCGAAAGCACGTCAAGGCCATGGGGAGAATGGTCGCAAGGATCTATCGTGGCAAAGGCGTTGGAGAGGACCCCGCAGAGCCTTCCAGAAGGCGAAAAAATCGCGAAAAGCAGGCGCTGAAGGATCACATTTACCTGCCCGTGTTGTGCCAAGCTAGAGCTGGTGGGTCTCGCGACTTGTCACCTCCCCGGGCGTCCAAGTCAGTACAACCATTACCTCAACGGGAAGTTTCTTCTCAAGGTACTGGAGACGCAGTTGAATTACCCGGTGCGTTGGCAGGTATGAAGCTTTTATCATCGCAGCTCGACGAGCTTCGTGCAGAGCTTGACACAACGTCGACACGAACAGAAAGGTTATGGTATTCCCAAGCACAGCGTGCGACCAAGACAGCATACCCCCGCCCCAGCCAGACATCTCGTATCCAAATCTGTAGAATCGGGCAACCCGAGTCGGGTAGCAGCTCTAGCAGTCTCGAGACGCTTTTATTGCGCGTACTAGAGCGACCTCCAGCCTGTCCGGATGGGTATCAGGCGGACCACGAAGAGAGCACGTTAGACTCATGCGACGGAGCCAAAACAAAGTCCCTGGACAGCAGAAGTACCAATACCAGTGAAGACGATTTGCTGCTTCTGCTCAACGCACTTGACTCAACCAGTCAAACATCATCAACAAACAGTATAGCAAGTTCAGACTTCACCGTCACCAGCGAGGATTGAAAGGGATTTGTTGATAGCGATCGGAGTCGTGTATACGCTGAAGAGCCACCCAAATTTACATGACAAGTCGAACAGGGAGTCGCCATGGAGCGCGATGAATCAATCCCGGTTCTGTCGACCAAGCGGCCGAACAATGAACAGCTCAGCTCTGCCACGGCTCTCGCAGGTACCATGTCGAAGAACCGCAAGCAGAAGCCGGCGAGTGCCTATCAGTATTACCAGAAACTAGTTCAGGATTTTGATTCACTTGAGCGGGAAATGGAGAGTCACCAAGAGGAACAAAGCGAGCTGGAGGCACAACTAGAGCGTGCCCAGGCTAAAGCCCGAGCGTTGCAAGCTGAGGACCAGCAATTCCAGCGAGTTCAATGGGAGCGGGAGCGTGATCGGCAGCTGGAAATGTTTGTTCAGCAGCGCGCCACACTCGACACTCTACGTTCCCAAACGGAGGCCTTAGAAGCACAAGAGCTACGTCTTCAAGCTGAGATGGAGGTACTTCACGAGAAACAACAAGAAACCAGCGAGACTGAAGCTCGCTGCATCCGCCGCCTTGTTCATGAACGGACAACACTACTCGAAGACGAGCTGGCTAAAGGGAAGCTGGATCTGGACTATATCACCCAAGTTGTCACCTCTGCACGCCGCCAAGAGCTCAAGCAGGAGGCTCAGCGAGAAACGGATCACAACGCCATGTCCTCCGTTAAGAACCTCGTGCAGAATGTTCAGGACCGCAGACGGCGCGACTTCGAAGTGGCAGAAGCTAATTTCCAAGCCCGAATGCGCTCGTTCCAACTGGAGAAGGAGGCTTTAGCTAAGAAAGCCAAGGAACTGCGGGTGACCAAGCAGCGAGCGATCCAGATTTTATCGCAAAATCAACAACAAGTGATTAAAGGATTTTTCGATGCACCTGCAGTGATTCATCAGCGCGAAGAGAAAGCGCGGGCAGCACCAACTCTAGATTTTGGCGAGATCTTGCAGTCTCTCAATCAGAGCGGCGCGCAAGTGGAACAGATCCAAACCATTGACTCCGAAAGGAACTCGGGTCGTCGTGAGCTTGCAGACGCTTTACAGGACGCACGCATGACGCTGGAACAGGGGAGCCAACGCGTTGAAGCAATCAAGAAGAGCTTGTTAGACCGGAAGAACGAAGCTCAAAAGCTGGGTATCGCAGTACGGGCCAACACAAGCGGGTACGATGGTATGTGGGGCGTTGAGTCGTACGCTCCTCGGCAGTACGAAATGGTTTACTTTATACGCGGACTCGTGTTTGCGTGTATGGATGCTGCTATAACTGAAGTCACTACTCAACCCGCGAAAGAGCTTCTTGAATTTGAGGTAAGGCGTTGGAGTGATACACACTTCAGTGTCGAACGGGATCGTGATCGCGAAAGAATTGTGCGATTCGCAAGAGAAGCGCTTGATAATTTGATGGACGAGGTGGTCACTGAGATTGCTGCGGACATTCGCCTGGAGTTTGAATCTAGTTCTCATTGTGTTCGGAGTGTTGTCACGAACGCACTGAAGGCCGTTTTGTTTCCGACTCCTGCACACAACCTTGCCTCACCACAAGCCAAGAAAGCGATCGCTAAATCTCAAGCCACGGTTCCTGCTTCAACTAGACCACCCACACTACGATCATCGTTGTTTGGATCCTCATTCGAACATCTTCGGGACCTCCGAAATTGGCGGAAGGGGTCAAACTCGACCATGGTCCTGCATCAAACCTCTCTACCGATTTCACAGCAACCTCCAGCAACGGTAGTAACTCCATCCCCAGTGGCGACGAAGAGCCCTGCGAAGAAAACATTTGGCATTTTCAGCTCATCAAAAGGAGCTGAGGCTACTTTATCGAAAGAAGGAGTCCCCCCTCGGACCCAAAGCTTCACCCCCGCATCTATAGAAGTTATCCCGTTTCTTTCAGTTGATGGTCCTAAATCCCCACTATCGTCTGCTACCGTTGCCATGGATTTTTGGGAAAACAAGCCGCTCGTACATTCGCGAACAATTATGGTACCGTCGTCGTTGGGCTATTCAACGTGCTTGCACGTATCCGGAAAAGGTGATCTGCTCATCTGCGGTACAACCGAAGGTGGGCTAATAATCTGGGATCTGCTGCCTGATCCCCCAACGATACTGCGTATCTGGTCGCCTCCAAAGGCCGAACGCTCGCGAATTACTCGAGTTGTACTCAGTGCTGATTCTCAAGTGATGCTGGCATTCTTCCGGCGTCGAGCCGGCTGTGTTTTTGCTATCAACCCGTCGGTTCGGGTCAGCAACTCGGCTCCACCAGCAAAATCCATGCAAGCCATGCACTCTGAAAATTGTTTCCCTGCTGAAGCTACAAAGTTCAAGCCAATTACTCTAGAACTTTTAGTGCAGCTTTCGGCGACCGATGCTCTTGCTGAACTGCCATTTCCCTCTGATCTACGCGAGCGTGCTCCAAATGCAGTTGCGAAGGACCCCGCCACTGGCTGGCCAGCCGCAGAATTGAGTTGTGGGTCTTTTTTTGCCTCGGCTTCACTAACTGGGATCACAGCGTGCAGTACCAGCATACTATGCGGAGCTTCCACGGGAGACTTGTTGAAATTTAACTTGCAACCGCAACGAGTAACAACGGGATTACGATTGCGCGCCATTCAAGCGAAATTTGACTCACCAGGCCCGGACGCCGATGAGGCTCTCGATACGAAGACCATTCGGCGGGAGCTTTTCCGGGGGCACCGACGAGTTATACTTTTTGCGTCTTCCATTAGTCGAAAGGACGAGGAATCGAAAGCACTCGAGATTCTGAGTGTGGACCAGGATGGCATATTGTGCGTGTGGAAGTACACCGCTAAAGAATTTACCGGATTTGGGTGGTTCAAGCCCACTTTGAAGCTGCGATTGAAACTTTCAGGTTCGGAAACCACCCCTTCCGTTCCTACATCGTCAGCACCTAGTGCTTCAAAACAGCCTCCATCTAAGCAAGGGGATTCGCAAGGCGAGGTGCTGCAAGTTGGCTTGACGCCAGACGATGCCCGACTTGTGTTCATGGTATTCTACGGCGATTCAACGAAGAAAGAAGTCACAGGAACGCTTCGCTTTTCACAACTTCTCACTGCATCCTTGAAACTGGATCCAGTACAATTCGAGGTGGGCTTCACTGCGGGCGACGGAGCGCCTCGATTCGCAGTTACCACAAACTTTCTGTTCTTGTTGGCTAATAACTGCGTGCGCGTATATACCCTGCGCACAGGCAAGGAGGCACGCGAGCCTATTGCACTCTCTGCTTCTGCTAAGCAGCAGGCTGCCTTCAGCGCTATCAGTTGTAGCAGTTCAAGGCCCAGCTTGTCCGACAAACTTGGATCTCAAACCAAATCAGCAAGTAGACGAAGCGCAGGTTCTACTACGATCACTGTGGCTGTGTCTAGTGACCAGCACCCTCGTCTCCTTGTATACTCGTTCACTACTCCACAAAATTATGAGATGAAACTTAAATTCAAACGTGAACGATGAGCCAACACTTTGCTTTATTGTGTTCCACTCACGGAGACCACGCACTCAACTGGTACTTGTCTAGGAGCTCCGGCGTCTGCGCATATTTTGTCTGAAAGGGACTGCCCGTAAGCAGTCGAACGCAGTCATCTACATCTAGTGGAGTGGCGTCACCGCTTAAGTCGTTGAACAGAAAGAAGGTCGTGTTGGCCGGCAACGATAAGCGCAGGCCACGTGAAAAAACTTGCCCAAGCTTGCTCTTCACACTCTTCAGTGCTTCTGGTGACTCCGTTATCACGTTGACTGCGAGGATACCGTGTGGGGCAAGTAGGCGCTTTGCCATTTGCAAGAAGGCCGACTCCAGCATCGCAAGCGGGGGTGCTCGCACCCCACCGCAGCTCGCTCCAGCCTCAACATCCAGCAGTACCATGTCGAGCAGACCATCCCTCTCTTGCTTCGCGAGAAAATCTTCACCCATTTCTTCGTGAATCACAAGTCTCGGGTCACGTTGCTGGGCTGCCCCAACGCCGAAGAAGCGTCTTGCAATCGCGTTTACCTGACTACTTGGCTCGACGGCATCGATCTGGCCAAGCCCGTTCGATGGATAATGCTCCAGAAGAAACAGAGGCAACGCACATGCTCCTGCACCCAATACGGACACTCGCAACGGTAGATCGCGCTGGGGCAACCACGCAAGGGGCATGCACAGAGCTCTGTGGACATCAAGAGCCAACGTGCTGCGATCGAATTCTGGCTCGGCGTCGGAGTTTTTTTCAGGCATCTTGGTAAGAGCGACTTCGCTCTGTGTCAAGTGCAAGCGATCATTGAACACAAAGCTCCGCGTGGGCTTCGATGTACCTTCAAAGGAACTATCCAGAACAGTAACCTCATCATCACTGAAGACAATCCGCCTCGAAAACTTTTCGAAGAACTCAGCCTTGTACTGCGCGACAAACTCCGGCTCAACCTCCTCCCGCAAGTCACACAGCATTTGCTGCAGTTCGTCGTAGGTGTAGTTCTCGCCTGATCGGTGAATCTAGCATCCAATCCACAACAGTTATCAGCTCCATATCTTCCCACCACGATTTTCCAATAGTGCAAACCTACATCGTGCAGAATCGTCTCCGGTATGACGTCGTCAAAGGAATAGGCTGGGATTGTCTCGCCCTCTTCCTTTTCCTTCCCTTCCTCCGAAATGTGGATGCCTTCACAGTCTGCTGCCGCAAGCTGCCAGTCATAGTCGGACACGAGATGCTGCGGCCACCACGGAAACGTTCGACACTGCGTCGGCCTCGCTGCATCAAACGCCCACAAATCACAGACGAGGGCGAGCATTAGTGTCAAGTTTGGCTGTCATTTGAGGGGGAATATAAATGAGACCTTGGTAGACAGAACACTTGGACCCTCGTAAGAAAATACACTGGCGATCGTCAGGGGTTTGCTTGAGCACCAAATGTGTCTCCTTTTGTCCACCAATGTCCTCCTCGACTCGACGCGTGTAGCTTCGCTTGAACTCGACCACAGACAAATCTGTGGCTGCGGCCAGCTCCTGCAGCTCGCGCTCGTTCACGCGCACGCGGCCGCCACTGCCTGTGCAGCACTTGCCACAGCCCGTGCAGCGGAAACTGAGCCGCACTTCCTCACGACTCGCTGACCAGCTCTGCAGACCACGCGCACGCAGCGTCGGCGGCGCCAACTTGGGCCATCGGTGCATATTTTGTTTTCAAAATGTTTGGTTTCCGATGCTCAATTTTTTGTTAGCAGCCAAATTTAGGTGATGCAATGTTAAAATTCGGTTTATTATTTATGACAATAGGAAAGAGTCTGTACTGTACTACACCTTTGCCACCTCAAACCGACCAAAGTTCAACACAAAGTGAACAGCACTGAAATTTTCTATTTTCATTTCAAAAATAGAATTAGAAATAGAAACTCAAAACTTTGACTTTGAATGCTGTACACACCAAAGTGGTCAAGTTCCGTACACCATCGGCTCACCGCGCTTCGCAGCGGCGACTGCCCGGGCGCAGTGAAGCGCCATCTTGTTCACAAGGCGTAGGTCCATGCAGTTCATGCAAACCTCCGCAGCTTGCTCCAGCAGCTGCATGCGCAGCTCGGTCGTGGTCAGGGTGCACTGAGCATGTCGTCGTGACTAAGCGCGAGGTAGCGCTTGATCGCAGCTTTCAGCACGCTGAAGCAGCCTGTAATAGAATCGCACAAGCCAAGCGTTTGTATGAGCCCATAGAGTAGCAATAGAAGGGGAAAACGCACCTTCAATCGGGTTGCACATAGGAGCGTACGGCGCAAGTCGGAGGAGCCCAAGGTCGTCAAGCTCGCGCACCAGCTCCTCGGTCTGGCTGTGGGCCGGGGCATTGTCAAGTACAATGACAACCGGCTTGCCAGCAAAGTGCTGCTGGTAGGTGGGGTGCGCCTTGGCAGCGTCATAGACAGCGTCGACGAACGCAGCGTTCTCCTCCATCTTGATGCTCCCGCACTGGGTCTCGTAGTGCAGCAGACCGACCTCGGTAGAGACCGCGCACTGTATTTGCAGGTTCTTGCCCTTGCTGGGCGGCAGCTTCACGATGGCGCGCTTGCCCTTGAGCGCACGGCCCTGCGTGCGTCTGCAGTATAGGTTGTAGTTTGTTTCATCGTAGTACACAATGAACGCACCTTCAGCACTGTACCTATGCAAGTCAAGGGCGAACTGCTTGTGCTTCTGAACATTGACTTCATTATTGCAAGTTGCAGGCTCGACTCGCACCTACATTCGTATCATAGTGTTATATCGATACATAGGTTCCGTAATGCTAGCATACCAACAACACCATCGACATACCTGCTTGACTGTGTACAGTTGGCCCGTGAGCTTCTGCCTGATCAAGGACGTGCTCAAATCCACGCCAAAATCGACCCACACCATCGTATTCAGCTGCTCCAGTGTGAGCAAGCAGTTGGCCTCTACGTAGTCGACCAGCGCTGCCTCAATCTCTGGAGTGCACTTGATATTGGCGGCTCGAGAGCCACCGCGCTGCTTCACCTCCGGACTCCCGCTCACGACGATGCGGCGAGCAGTACTCCGGGGGATGCCATTGTGCTTGGCGACAAGCTCCCAGTCTTCTCCCTGCTGGTGAGCGTCTAAGACGCGCGCGCGAGCCGCGAGGCTGTGCTTCGGCTCCTTAGGCATGAGCCAGTCGAGGTGAAGTGCAAAGAGACAGCTCTCTGAGTGCTGGTGGGCGCGAATTCTACTCTCCAGTCGTTCTGAATTGCTGGTGGGCGCGCGCGGGTCTCCTCATCCAGTCGTAGTCCGTTTGAACTTTAAAAATTCCACTTTGACGTGAAACCTAAAAATAAAAAATGACATTTGAATTTCCATCGTTATATTTTGCCAAATTGAATTGCACTAAGACCACCTTGAAGTGGCAAATGTGTAGTCGTTGTCTGTACTACGACAACGACTAGGGCTCAGCGCACCGCTACGCAGGCGCTTCGCCATGGTTATTAGGGACTTAGACAATGGTAGGGCGCCCCCGTTCCGCTCGCGGAGCTCGCTGCACTACTCGCAGCGTGGGGCCGAGTAATTGATACAGTCCGGCCCTGCGGGCCCTGAAGTTCGTACTCATGAGATAAAACGTATTTTTGTCCAATGAAAATTTTGTGGATTGTGGGCGTGACGAACAGGGAAACTGCTATAAGAAAGGGTGAATATCCACGAGGAACGCGACATTGTCAGCTGAGATTTGTCCGGGTGGGTTTGATAAGATCCGCGGGTGGGTGGGTTTAGGTTTTGTTTTTTTAGGACCCGATGACGTCATGGCTCGTTGCTGGGAACGGGGCCAGGTGAGACCGTCCTCGATACTGTTTCCTTAATGAAATCCTGTCAAATACTCTAAACCGTGGTTTGCCGTGGCTCGCTCCCCACTTATCGCGCAAATTGGCAGGCTAACACTCCCTCTAACCCTATGCAATAGCGTGTTTAGTCCTAGAGACAGAGATAACAGGCAAACGGTTGAGTTCATAGGCTCAGTTTTCAACTTGAACACTTTCCATCACCATAAGCCGCGGAAGGATCCGGTCTGGAATGACGTAGTCGTGGCGGACGATGTCGTCTCGTGTAAGAAGTGCGAGCGTATCATCCACCTGCTGGGAGAGACGCATGTCGAACGCGTCCGCGACCACTTCAAGCGCAAGGGCTCCAAGCGACCTGTAACGAAGCCGATTACAGCTTGCCTTCCACCGGCCCTAAGCCCTGCGAAGCTGACGGCTTTCCAACGACAGTTTGCGCTGTGGTTCTATTCCACGGGTATGACATTCAACAAGGTCAATCACGCAACGCTGGTGAAGGCGATGGCTATCCTTAACCCTGGCGCCGTCCTCCCCACCCCCCGCGAGCTTGCGACCACTTTGCTGTGCGGATCGTGCGGCGAGTTGAAGCTGGTCATGGTGCACCGTGTGGCAGGAAAGAAGTGCGACAAGAGCGTTGTCGACTACATGTTGATATGCGAGGACGAAACCTACTTCCTGGGCTCCGTTGAAGGAGTGGCTGGGCTTGGTTGCGCTCCGGGTCGAATTCCTGAGCTTCTGGCTGACCTCTTCTTCTGGCTGCACGACACGCTGCGGGTCGTGTTGGCGTTCTAAGCGTCTTTCGCGCCGATGCTGGTTGCGTAGGCCCCGCCGTATGGCCGCAACCAGGCCCGGAAACTGGCGGGCGAAGCAGATGGGGGTCCCTATGTGACGTCTGAGGGATGCGGCATGTCGAAAGGGGATCAGGCACCGGGGGCAGGTGAACACCATTTAGGAAATGAAGTATGTAGGCTGTCTGGAAGGTGTGCCGAGATCAGTCCTCGATTTTTAGGAGCCCTTAAATAGTCCTCTGTGCTCATTCTATTTAAAAACCCGCAATTTTGATGAAACGGGCGGGCGGGTGTTTTGCAAAACCCCAAAAAACCTTCATCCCAATTTTCGAACCCTGGATATTGTGCGTCGCATCTGCAGGAAGTCGGCGTGGAGGAAGTGATCCTGCAAACGCGGCACCGCTTAGGTGTAACGGCAGCAGAGGGCGAAGCTTCTAAGCTTTACTGACCATAGGCGCACCTGCACTATTGCCCCGCACTGGTCTGACATGATGAGCGTCCTGCAATTATTATATATAAGATTTAAACTGGTCTGACATAATGAACGTCCTACAATTACTACACTGCAGGACGCTCATATGTCAGACCAGTTCAAGTCTTACGTCAAGGAAGTCTTGTCCGGTCACCGCAAAAGCCACGTGTACACTCTTGAAATCGACAGCATGTTGAAGGGCATGCGGTGCATGCGCCAATGGGTTAGACACTAGAAGAGCTTTGTCGACCCTACCAAATGTGCGTGCACCAACCGTATTCAGGGTGCTTAGGAAGCTAAAATCAAAGCACGCGTCAAGAGCGAACGAGGTATGTTGAAGACTAAGGTACTTAGTTTTCCTAGACGAATGTCTCTGGCATACGTAGTTCTTTGACCAAAGTAAGAGAACTACGTCGAGTTAGTACTTCCACGGGCTGGTGGTCTGCATCAGCCTTTGTAGGTCATGGCTACACAATTTAACTGACAACTATGTTTTTTTTGTTGGTTAAGTACCTTTTCCAGATTGACGTACAGGTTCGGAGTTGTACTACAGGTGTGCCGTGGCCACGCACCCTCCAGGACAAACAAGGGGCAAGGACGCAAGGTACTCTTTCCTGACGTCCCTGTCATTGTCGCTTGTATACAAGACACGGGGTCAGATGAAAACGTAAGTTTATTTTACTGGTATTCTGGATAGACATCATTCTAGTGTATTTTGTTTGTAGTGTAGGCTCTCACGATACGAGACATCCTGGAGCACATATGGCAGATCGAGCCCGTCTGGGTCACGAGGTATCATGGAACACATGTGGCAGATCGAGCCCGTGTGGACCCACGCAAGTGGGTACGCCAGCAACATACATGCTTAGGGAACACATAGCTAGTGGCGAGGAAGGCAGGCGTCGCAGCACTGCAGTCTCCGTCGCCACAAGAAACCCACGCGCAACGTCGCTTGAAGGCAGGCACCAGGTTTATGCGAAACTGCCTGGCGCCGGGAAGCTAGCACACAACCTGCACAAGATTACAACGTACATATATAGGATTACCAAAACATTAAAAAAGCACTGGCATTGAGTATAGGTAAGCCCAGCTTCTAGAACGCTACTAGTGGAAGGCCTAAGGCTTGTAGCCAACCCAAAGACTTACAGAGATCAATCTCACTTTGTACTTATCCGCGAACAACCAAGCAACGCCAACTTCTCAACGTACTTTCGGTATGACAGACCCCATTTGGTAGCACTTGTTGGTCCCCTCGCAACAGTGATTTGCTCAACCTTGGAGAAGTCTTCGGACACCGGCTGGGGATTCGCTTCTGACTGCGCTTCCCCAACCTCGTAGAGGGCTTCGGGCACCGGTAGACATAGATGATTGGCCATGATTCAAACCCACCCGACATTTGTCAGGGAAACGTCAGTATAGGTACGAGGCACCATTTGTAGCGGCGCACTCGATCCAGTCCGGCTTTAGGGTTCAGCGGTTAGGGGCGGTGCAGTCCGCTCTGAGTTGCATGTTTGCTTGGATGTCGGGTCATAATGGTCGTTGCATTGAAAACGCTGTTTCCGTCGTTTTTTTAGAGGCTGAGAGTAATCTATGCCGCTGACACCGACAGCGGCATAGATTACTCTCAGCCTCTAAAAAAACGGTCGCGCACCGACTTCTACCGTCTAATCCGGCACGCAGTGCGGACGATCGACCGACTTCTGTGCCATCTTGCCGAGGTCAAGTCACTCGACAGGGAAAAGCGAAAGACGGTCATCCCTGATCTCTGTCACGCCCAGCGTAAACTCGGCAATACAACAGGTCTCGTCAACCTCGGTGCAGCCAGAGTGCTAGACCCTCGTACCACCCGTCAGCAACTCGAGCACGACAATCGTCTACATGACAGCAAGATGGCTCGACGCAAGCGTAGTCTAGCTACTGTGAAAGAGCTGATTAACTTGTCTAACAAGCAGCAAACACGTTTTAGCGACGTTTGCTTTCGACAATTTATTGTAGTGTGTGAAAATGAATACCTTTGCGGCTATAACGTTTTAGAAGGGATTAGCTCTGTTACTAATTAGGCTTTGGGTCAAGGCCTCCGCGTGGGAAACGAAGACGAACAAGATGGCGGAAGTCTAAGCAAGGAGTGCTGTAGCTGCTACGCCCCGAAGTTACGCGCCCAAACACGAACTTCACCTCTCTCTAATTCACTTCACAGCTCACTCTACGCAAAGCCATCCTGGCAAAACTTCCCGCCCGGGCTCGCAACACATTGGTGGCTCCGGCCAGCAAATCTGGAGCCACATCGTCATTGTTTCTTGCCCAGCACTTCTGACCGACTGAGAAAGCAAGTCAGGGCGATGCGAAGGCCCGGGTTTGCTTGCTCGAGGCCAGAGACGCTATTGTCGCGTGACCGCTACCCTAGAGGGTCAGCAAGTCACACCGAACATGCATATAGGCAAAAAGAAAAGAAACCCGAAACATTGAACATGCATTTAGTAGGAACGACATGAAAACAACGCAAAGAGATGAGGGTAGGCGCACAGGTACGGAATACAAACAGAAATACGCAAATGTCGTCTAGGAGCAAAGCTAGCCATGGATGTTAGGCTAGCGATAAGGATTCATTTTCAAATATACCAAGAACCTCGCACATCGACACCAACAACCGAGATTACACTTCTTCACTGACCAACACTCGCTTCAACTTCAACGACCCACACTCTCGAGCCAAGGGCTTCTGGCCTACAGTGTGTAGACCCTCGTGTGTCGTTCAGAACGACCTGTCTGCACATCTTGTTGGGGTTTTGAAGGAGCTATGGAACGCTCTTGAAGTCGGCATCCACCATGAATTATTGTAGGAAAGTAGTATTTGGCCGGACACCCTATCCCTATGACAAGCTTGCTACCTCGTTGTAGCCAATCAGCTATTTTTTCCCTATCATTTGAGGCTCAGCGACCTATTTTCATCCAATCGTCGATCATTAGGGTTAGGTTTATTGTGTTCAAACTTATTTCTGGAATCGCCCGGAATTTCCTTGTTCGCGCAAATAAGTAACCATACAAAACTAAAGATGTTTGTCGTTCTAACTCGATAAATTTAATACCGGCCGGTTGTAGCCACTTCCAGACTTGACCAAGACGGAGAGAGGTGATTGTCGTGGTCTCGACACCTTAGCTGGAAGGTCAAGGACGGCTTTAACGACCCAACAAGCGCAGAACGCTGTCGGCCGTCAAGTACATGGAATGTAGAATAGTAGTTCGGTCCAGTAAATTTTATGAAAGATTATGTAGCAATGCTGGTAGATAAGCAATCAAAGGCATGATGTCTACTGGTACTACACTGCACCCTCAGCACCTTGGCCGTCCTGCTGCTGCGCGCTCGAGCTGAAGTACCGCCCCAGGTCTTTGGTCTTGCTCACGCGCTCGACGAGCTTCGCCGACTCCATAAGAGCCCACGTTCTCGCTGGTCACCTTCTCCGTCGTATACGTCGACCGAGTCGCCATCGGCAGTCGTCGTCTTGGAGGGAGCGACACTCACTACCGAACCGTGGTGCCGGCGGAGAAGCTGTTCGCCTTGCCGCTGTCGCTGGAATCCTCCTATGACGTTACATTGATCTCCTCCACCGTCTCCTCCGTCGTCTTAATAACCTCGGAGACCAACTCTACGCCTCCTCCGTCGTCTCGATCGAGCCGGTCGTCACCTTGATTGTAGTATCCCTCGCCGTCTCCGCGTCTCCGCTACCACGGTGCGCCAGCTCCGTCGTGGCAGCGCCAGCCACATGTGCGCGCGACACCCACCTCAGCCACGGTCGACATCTCCGTCGTCTCGAGCGTCTCGGCGATCTTAGCTGTCTTTTTTCCGTCTGCACTGCCTCCTTCTAATCGCGCAGCCTCTGTCATCATGCTGCGCGGGCCTGCTCATCTCCAGTTTCATCACCTGTCTAGACGTCCTGCTGCTCCTTCTCACCTTCCTGCACTGCATCCAGGAACCCCGCAGTCAAAGTCTCGCCCGCCACGCTCTCCCCCACAGTGCCTGTAGTGTAGCTACACTGCGCGACACAATTTTTCGGACACTCACATTTCTGTCCATATCTCAGCTTCTAGAAAGCGTTACAGCTCGCTATTTAGATATGTTGTATTTATCCGATCAATCTATAGCTGGCATGTGACGCGGAGCTAGATTTTGGAGCGCATAGATAGGTTAGTATACAACTGACACGATTTCGAGCCGCGACAGAGTTTCGGACAATTTTTATCTTGATTAAAGTATGCAATTCAGTGATGACTACATTAAATCAGCTAACCTCCGACAATCATTCTAATACATACTTTAATCAAGATAAAAATTGTCCGAAACTCTGTCGCGTCGAAATCGTGTCAGTTGTATACTAACCTATCTATGCGCTCCAAAATCTAGCTCCGCGTCACATGCCAGCTATAGATTGATCGGATAAGTACAACATATCTAAATAGCGAGCTGTAACGCTTTCTAGAAGCTGAGATATGGACAGAAATGTGAGTGTCCGAAAAATTGTGTCGCGCAGTGTAGTCCTCGCGCTGCTCGCACGTCCGCGTCTGCTGATCCCACGCCGCTCACTCTCACCTCAGCTGGCGATGAACGCGTTCTTGTAGCTCCACCCCGTCGCCAGTGCGTACAACACCACTGTAGCGGGGCTGCCGTAGCTTTAGCGTCAGAGGAAGACGTAACAGACTCACAGAGTCTCAGCTTAAGATCGCCCGTTCTAATACCAGAACGTACGAGTCCGTACACCTTACGGACTCCAAGAGTCAACCCTTAACTCATAACTGTGTAAATCTCAAACTGAATGTATTTCTCTTTGGTGCGGCCATGCCGCCTATGGTGTAAATGTATCCGGTTCACTATCTAGCATAGTGCACCCAGGTCATATGCATAATCAGTGGCTCCGAAGCCATGTACTGATTCTCCACCTGATTTAGGTTAGACAGTGTGTACCCACTTAGTAACCCTTCGGGTAACTCTCGTGTAACCCTGTTACAACCACAGCTGGGCGCTCTGGCAACCTTTGATCTACTTCCGGCCGGCCTAGAGAGCTTATCTTTGCCGCGTACGCCGACCGGGACGCCGCCGAGCACAGCGCGGCGGAGAGAGGCCAGTCGTCTTCAATATTGATGGTGTGGGCGCGATTGGGTGCGCGTCGTAAGTGTTGACGAAGACGTAGCCGCCACTTATCAGCGCACCGTGCCACCGTCGATCATGTCCACGAGTTAGGAGATGCCGCACGCGCTAGGCTCCGACAGCGCTGGCCCACCGCTCCTTCCACTAGCTGTACACGACACATCCTCCGCTTGCTCGGCTGCCGACTGTCCGTCGTGTCACCGCTGCGAGCTTGTCCGAGCATCCCCTCTAAAGAATGAGAGAAATATATCATTACGTAAGTGGAAATATCACACTTTCTGCTGCCGTCCGGAATAAATACGTGGACGCTGATTGGCGCGAGTAATTTTATATGTCGCCAGTGTGTCTCTATTGCAGATTTGACATGTTTCCGGATTCCGGTCCGGAATCTGGCAATTACTGCACCAGTCTGACGACCCTTTTCTCACAAGTCGACAAATCACATACATTGGCTCATCCGTTTGCTTTATCACAATTCACGTAAAACAGCTAGGTAGCAACAGTCGCTTGATGACGACGATTATTAAATTAGCAGCGTATCATGCAAATCATGTTACCACTTTGCATCTTTGTCAGACGAAGACCAGCTCGAGAGGCAGCCGGCGCTGCCGCCACGTCAGGCTCACGAGCAGGTCTTCGAACGTGTCAGCGGCTTTGCATGCTTGTGGCATAGCTCCTCGATGGATCCGCGCTCTGAGGTAGATGATCATCTTGTTCTACAACACAGCGCACTGCAGCGGCTTCCGTTGAACTTCAGCTCGTCGCCTGATGACTTGCCAACCTTAAGGTTTTTCATTACACTTGCAATATTGAAACGAACAGTATTCCCAGAGCAAAGTGGCCGCCACATCATTAAGCGTCCCGATTTGGCAGGGCATGCTTTGCAATATCTCGGTTTGTATGCCATATCGAGAGCTACCGTTTAGATGTATTTTATTATGATCCTACCCCATTGTATTAGGGTTAACAACCCGGGTTTTAAAGCTCCCGATAGGGTTCGCATATAAATTGTGGCACCGCCGACACTGAAGGGCATGTATATGTTAGAGGTTATCCTATATACTGATCTCATGACAACGACTCTTACTTTGTGAGCTGGTTGGATATTCCCGATCAACTTAAGCCATTGCGTTTTTCTTTTCAAAATGTTTGGTTTCCTATGCAGATTTTCGATTGGAAAATTATTGCTAGTACTGTCAATTTAGCGATACAACGTGAAAATCATTTATTTCTTATAACACCAGGAAACATATTACGTTTATCGGGGGCGCTCAGATGTGGAAGCGACAGTAGTGGGTGTGTCGGTTAGGAACATGATTTTAAGGATAATGTGCCGAACCGCTCTGTCTTCCGGCGCATCCTCGAGCCTAGAAACACGTTTTTTCTCGGGAATACACAATTTCTAACACAGGTATTGCTGCCCATTTCATTCGTTTAAAGCCCGATAAGCATTATTGGATGATTCCATTGGATAAATTTTAATCAAAATGACGT